ATGGACTCTGAGAAACAAACTGGGGATTCTAGAGGGGAGGGGGGTGGGGGGATGGGTTAGCCTGGTGATGGGTATTAAAGACGGCACGTTCTGCACGGAGCACTGGGTGTTATACGCAAACAATGAATCATGGAACACTACATCAAAAATTAATGATGTAATGTATGGTGATTAACATAACATAATAATAAAAAAATGTGCTATTGTAAGCAGCTGTTATAAATCTGCTACAACAAATTGATCCCACCCTCAGTGATTTATAAAGGGGCTAGGAAAATAGAGTAACATTCCAACATTCATGACATGGTGTGTTGGAAATTGGAATTGTCTTGTGCCTGCAAACTAATGCTTGTAAAGCTTTGTTAAAAATCGAGTATTTGCTTTCATTTTGCATACTTCTTTCAGCTCATTGGACGGCCAGCCCTTCCCTCATACTGGGCACTTGGATTTCATCTCAGTCGTTATGATTATGGAACACTAGATAGCATGAAGGAAGTTGTGGAGAGAAACCGTGCAGCAGGGCTCCCTTATGTAAGTAAGGCTTTAAACCTCCTCCTGAAATAAAGGAATTCCCTTGGGGAATAGGATCAACTGCTTATAATTTCTCCCCCTGAGTTATTTTTTTAATATACACAATAAAAAGATTTTTATATATTCAGAATACTAGACTTTTTTTGCTGTGCTGGCCATTCCTTTAAGGAACTAGTTCTAGAGACCACCATTTTGGGGTTCAGAGATGATCTGTTTGTCTTTGTTCTTCTTATAACATTTTCTTATTAAAATTTTCTTGTGCTTACTGTATTGACTACATTTGTATAATGTGTTTTTACTTGAGTTCTCAAAACATTTCTTTCCCTAGTTTAAGTGAACAAAAATATAACAATAGAATATTTTAATATTTTGAATGGCTAAATTTGAATGTGTCTGTTCAATTATGGAGAGTGAGGTTTTTCAAGAGGTGCAAAGGAGAAAGCCCAGTAGTCTCTGGAATAGTCCTCTTCTCTTCCCTACCCCTTTCCCTTAGAGGCAGACACATAGGTCCTAGGGCAAGGGTCAATTTCCTTCTGGGCTCCACTATTTTCATACAGGTAGAATTAGGAAAAAATAAGTGCCAAAGAAAACTTGAGTTACGAGAGAAGTAACAACTCTGAGAAACAAACTGAGGGTTCTCGAGGGGAGAGGGGTGGGGGAAATGGGTTAGCCTGGTGTTGGGTATTAAAGAGGGCATGTACTGAATGGAGCACTGGGTGTTATACGCAATGAATCATGGAACACTACATCAAAAACTAATGATGTACTGTATGGTGATTAACATAACAAAAAAACCCCCCAAAACTAATGACATAATGTATGGTGATTAACATAACATAATAAAATAAAAAAAAAGTAAAAAATAAAAAAAAAAGAAGAGAAGCAACAAAACAAAATGTGGGGCAGTAAAATGAGGGAGATGTGGGACAGTCTCTTCTCCCTTTCAGTCTGTGGATGGGGTAGGATTTAGGTACAGATATGTTTTTGATAGCCTTAGTGATTTGTTGTGATGGTCGTGGTTTGTTAAATTGGTTTTGAGTGCCAGAGGGGGCCAGGTGACAAGGCCGGGCGGTGCAGTTAACCTGATTCTAGGGGTGGGGGTCAGGCCTTAGGGACACAATGGGTCCTCTGTTTTTGAAATTACTATTGGCAAAGGAGCACTTAGATGCCAGGGACTGATCAAGAACCCCGTTTCAAGCCCGGCACGGAGTCAGTGTGTATGGTGGGTAATTATAATGAGGATTTGACTGAGTCATTTGAACAGGGAAATTCTGGAGCCCTAAACTGTGGAGTTTGTGTGTGCTTTCAGGATGTTCAGCATGCTGATATTGATTATATGGATAAGAGGAAGGACTTCACTTATGATCCAGTCAATTTTAAAGGTTTCCCTGAGTTTGTTAAGGAGTTACACAATAACAGTCAGAAATTGGTCATCATTGTGGTACGTGCCATCCTCTCCCCGCCGCCCCCGATCATCAGGTGCTTGCTCTTCCTTGTCTTTATAGCCACCTCCCTCTCCTTCACCCCCCCAATTCCCAATCTCCTTTCTGTGCCTCGAAACTTGAAGCTGGGTGCTTCACTGTATTTTTCTTCTTCTTAGGATCCAGCCATCTCCAACAACTCTTCACCCAGCAATCCCTATGGCCCGTATGACAGGGGTTCGGGCATGAAGATATGGGTGAATGCTTCAGATGGGGTGACTCCACTCATTGGGGAGGTAACTGAATGGGGGACCTGGGGGCTGGTGGCGGGGCTGTGGCGGAGTGTGTGTATGTGTGTGTGTTTGCGTGTGTGTAGTTGTCTTGACACTTTGAGATGACTTATATATGCTGGGGATACACTTGCCCCTGTCCCCTCATCCCCAGACCACCAGCCATCTAGCTCTATATTCATTTAATTGACTCTGATCAATGTTTTTCTTTTTCTCCTGCAGGTCTGGCCTGGAAAAACTGTATTTCCTGATTATACCAATCCCGATTGTGCTGTTTGGTGGGCAAAGGAATTTGAGCTTTTCCACAACCAAGTAGAATTTGATGGAATCTGGATTGTGAGTTCTTAATACTCTGAACATTTGGTGACTAATATTCAGACTGTGTATATATCATTGAGTCAAGGAACATGGGGGAAAGAGGAGGAGAAGAAAGCACATAGGGCAGTAATTCTGATATTCCCTATCTTACTAGTTAAATAATCTTATTGAAACACGTAGCTTAGAATCTAAATCAGATCATTAGGTCTGGAAATAAACTAAGATTTTTCTTTTTTTTCTGAATCCAGCTCTTCTTTTAAAAATGAATGAGCTGAACGAAGTAAAAATCGGTCATACATGCTTTACATTGCCACAAAGTACACGGTTTTTCAATCACCAGTTCAGGGTTCTTTCCTTTGGACATGGTGGACAAATTGATCAGAACCAAAGGCCCCAGGTGCATGACAGAACTGTGGGGGTGGTAAGGACAAATGTCACATATGATATCAAATGAAAACAAATGCAAAGCAGCAGATGTTCAGCAAAATTTAGGGAGCTCTAGAGTTGAACTTTTTTCTATTTTTAAGAGAAATGTAGAAAATTCGAACAATACAGAGAGCTAAAAAGATGAAAGCAAAATTCTCTAAAATGTTATCAGCCAAAGACATTTACCATCAACATTTTGGTACGCATCTTCCCAGAACCCTCACCTGCCCAGCTGTTGGCACGGGCTTGCGCCCTCACTCTCTCTATGTGTGTATTTGTATGTACATATGTATGTATGTATCTAGATAGATAGATAGATATGTATGTGCATTCATGGCTATATTTGGATATATAGAGGATGTATAAGTTGACATATATGGAATCATATAAATCAAGATCTTTTTCCACCTAATGTTTTTGAAAATTTTTCATTTCCCATGATTATAGACATACAGCATTTTGAAGGGATTTTAAGAACCTTCTCTGGGGAACCTTCAATGGGTAGAGAAGACAGGAACATCTATTTCCCTCCATGTGCATAAGAACCTCTTTAAAGAAGAACTATCTGGAATCATTTCTCTGATTCCTTAAAAAAACAAAAAAGGAGACAAACATCAGCACAACATAAGGGGGCATATTTCTTTTCCTTCATAGTAGCTTTGCCCTTTGTCTTACAGGATATGAATGAAGTCTCCAACTTCGTTGATGGTTCCATTTCAGGATGTTCCATGAGCAATCTGAATTATCCCCCATTCACTCCTAGTAAGTCTTGGTGGTGGTATAATTAAAGTGGCAATGCATATTTGGTATTTTACATTCGTAAGGATAGATATGAACTACTGGGCAAGGGAGTTTGTGTATAAATGTATGCAGGGAGAGGAAAATGTGGGTAATATATACTGAAGATTAGGAAAGAAAATCAAAGCACTCCAAGCTTTTCTAAATGAGGCATAAATTCAAACGGGGCCACTAGTCTTTCTACAGACAGTTTGAGCTGTTTCTAGGGGAAGGTCCAGAGAACATTCAGTGCAGAGGCCAGAGGCTAGTGGTTAGTTTGTATTACTCCCTAGCATGTATTCCCCGAGGTCAGGGCTTACCAGAGAGAGACCATATAACTGGGCTTGGTCTTCGGATAAGGGTAAAGTCTAGTGATATCAAGAATGTGAAGAACAGACATGAAACGTAGGATGAAAAGAAGCCAGAAGCCAGAACCCAGAACCCATGGCCTTGAAGGTTAAAGTCAGAGTCCATGAATATGATGATAGTGAGCTCCAACTGAACTTTGAACAACACCATCTCTCAGGGTATGGCCCTGGAATCACAGCATTTATTGTAGTTTGAAGAAAGCTAGAGGCTCACAGATACATTTTATCTTAATTAAGGAAAGAACAGGGTGCTAACATTATAGCATCTAAGGAAGACTTCCAGTCTGGTGAGAAAATAGGAAATTGGGGCAAATGGGCCAGGGATTTGCATGGGGGGGGGGCACAAAAGTTCATACTTCATTCTTTTGGTGATGGAAGCTATTTATGTTTTAATATAAGGGAACCAGGATAGTCGAATGGTTTTGGAAATATTAATCTTGTGTTAGTGTGCAGTATGAATTCGGAGATCAATAGATCCGAAGTAAATAAGCCATTAAGAAACTATCGCAGTAGTTAAGATGCAAAGGTAATTTAGATTGGAGTCAGAATGATACAATGGGAGCAGAAAAGAATAGTAGCATGCGAGAGATTGGGGAGGCAGTCTTTTTACACTCTGGTCAGTTGAAAAAGGGGGCAAACAATTAATTTACACTTTCATCCACTGTTTCTATTCTTGGGCCACATGATTTGGCTAAGTTTGCAGAATTCAGATTAAACGTCAAGTCTAACTGGATCCTCTGGTTTCCAAGTGCCTACCTTGAGCCACATGAGCACCTGGGGTGGAAGAGTGTGTATGGGGCAACACAATTTATTTATATATCGGAGAAACTACTCCCAACATATAACCCTCTGATAGTGAGGAAGCTGTGTGATCATTTCCAGGATGGCCACAAGAAACCCTGCCTAGAGTGCTACCATTTCCGGTTCTGCCATAGACTAGGCCAGGAGCAGGGAATGCGCATCTGAGGCTCTCATTGACCGATTCCCTCCTTTGCCCCAGGAATCCTGGATGGGTACCTGTTCTCCAAGAGTCTCTGCATGGACGCAGTCCAGCACTGGGGCAGGCAGTATGACGTCCACAATCTGTACGGCTACTCCATGGCAATGGCCACAGCAGAGTAAGACCACTGTTGCTGTGGACTTCATACATGACCAGATTATTGATCTTTGTTAGATGCCAGGGGCCAGTGTGTTATTTTTAAGAACTCTGCAAGATAAATAGGGTTGTTATTACTGAATGAATGAAGAAACTACCCGGCACACAGGGAAGAAGGAATCCGGTAAATATTCGTGGAATGTATAAAATGAAAGAATGGATGAATACATGAATGAATGGAAGGCTGGAAGAAATAAAGAGAAGTAACTTGACCAAGGGCAAACAGCTAATACATTGTAAAAGCAAATTTTAAGCCATTTTTGCATGAGTCCAAAACCCATGTATTTTCCTCTCTGCCACACTGTATGGAGTATGGAGGGTAAAGTAACTTATAGACTTCATGTGCCTCAGGGTTTTGGATACTGGCTCAGTGTCCTTCTACTGTGCTGTGTCTACCCTTGTGTATAGACTCAAATTCTACAGTGAGGAAAACGTACTGAGAATTTACTGTACTTACGGTAGTGGTGACAGCAGGAAGCCAGACCAAAACCACATTCACTCATTAGCAAAGTCATGGTTTAAGTTTAGCCTTCTTAAAAGTTGTTTTAAAAATTACAGAGCAGAAGTTTTAAAATAGACGTATAGACTTATAATTTTAAAAATATAGATGGGGTGCCTGGGTGGCACAGTCGGTTAAGCATCCGACTCTTGGTTTCAACTCAGGTCATGATCTCAGGGTCGTGAGATCGAGCCCTGCATTGGGCTCTGCACTCAGTGCAGAGTCTGCTTGGGATTCTCTCTCCCTCTCCCTCTACCCCTCCCACTAGTGCTCTCTCTCTCTCTCAAAATAAATAAACCTTTTAAAAAATATAGATGATATATATTTATAGTTACTTATAAAAGTACACACATGTATCTATAAATTTAAAATGCCTACTCAAAGAGATTTTAATCTCTAAAAGGCTGTTCATAAATTCACTTTTTGTGTACGTCTCAAATCATACAATGTGAAAGATCAATGTATATACATCTATGTAAAATTAAATTTCACCTTCGTTCCTTAAAAATTGTATACCTCTAGTTATTAGCCTTTCCAAGCCTGCTTTTAAAAATTTTGGAAATTATGGATTTAATGATGTACATAAAACACCTTAAAACAAAACAAAATAAAATGGAAACATATTTAATGGTGCAATCTGCTTCCACAGCAGCTCTAACCCTCCTAGGAGGGAGTTAAAAGACAATGAGCCTTGGCATTGTCACTGTATCTGGGGGGCTGAGACATGCTGAGATCACACATTGACTCCTTAAGTTTCTCTCCCTTTCTAGAGCCATCAAGACTGTGTCCCCTAATAAGAGAAGCTTCATTATAACCCGTTCTACATTTGCGGGATCTGGCAAGTTTGCAGCCCACTGGTTAGGAGACAACGCAGCCACCTGGAATGATCTTCGGTGGTCTATCCCTGGTGTGCTGGAATTCAACCTTTTTGGTATCCCAATGGTGAGTCCACATCCCTACCTCAATCCCCAGAAAGCCTCATTCTAGAAAATTCTCAGAGCATGCAGCTCACCTCTCCTACCCTTTCTGGCCCAGGGATTTAATGTTTTGAGAACAAATGGCTTCATCTACATCAGTATGGCTCTGATACAACAACATTCTTTTCTGTACTGACTTATCAAGATAGAAAGTGGAACCTGGGAGTGCTATCACTGGAATATTTTTTTTCTATTAAAGTATAACATACGCACAAAAAAGTACACATATACTTAAGTATATAATTGATGAATTTTACAAGCTGAACACATCTATGTATCCAGCACCCACATGAGAAAACGTAACATTGCCAGGTTTCTAGAGGTGGGTTTGACATCTTTTAGTTAAATTCAACATATATATTTATGGAGCTGTTACTGTGTGCAAGGTACTAAGCTAGGTATGCATGATGAGGGTAGAGAAAAGCATAAATATAGTACAGAAACACCTTCTCTGTTCCCTTATATATGAAATATATAAACAAATAATTATGACAAGCTGGGGACATATAAATTAAATGTTGAGGGAAATCCTGAGAAAGAGACTTTTTAATTCTGACAAGATTACAAGGAACACAGGGAGTCAGGGCAAGGAGTCAGGAGAAACTTCACGGAATAGGTTTCACTTGAGTTTACCCTTGGAAAGCGGACTTATTTTATCAGACCAATGGAGAAGTCATCTTAAGATTGAGAAAAAACATGAGGAAAAGCAGTAAGGGGGAGAATTTGATATGTTTATAAGGATTGGTTTGTAGGACTTGAGTGGAAAGTGATGCTGGAAAGGTGGGTTGGAACCAGGTTTTGAGGAGCTGCTAGCTAAGCTGTGGGGAGACCCTGGAGATGTTTAGAATACATGACTGATGGAATCAGATTTAGGCTCTGGAAAGTTAATTCTGATATGGTGGTCAAAATAATATTGGAAGTAATTTTAGTTCTACCCATCAAAAAGCTATTGTATGTCAGGGCACCTGGGTGGCACAGTCGGTTGGGTGTTTGACTCCTAGTTTCAGCTCAGGTCGTGGTCTTCGGGTAGTGGGATGGAACTCCACATCAGGCTCCATGCTCAGCAAGGAGTCTGCTTGGGATTCTCTCTCCCTCTCCCTCTGCCCCCCCCACCTCTCTCTCTGTCTCACTCGAATAAATCAATAAATCTTTAAAAAACAAAAGCTATTTTGTCAAGTGTTCTACTTCCATTATGTCACTTACTAAAACCCTGTGTAGCTAATTAATGCCCACTTTAGCAAAATGAGGAAACTGAGGCACAGAAGGATTAAAGTAACTTACTCATAGTCATCTGATAGTAAAGAGTGGACATGAGAGGTGCCCGGATGGCTCAGTTGGTTAAGCATCTGACTCTTGATTTCGGCTCAGGTCATCATCTCAGGCTTCTGAGATGGAGCCCCACGTCAGGTTGTGTGCTGGGCATGGAGCCTGCTTAAGATTCTCTCTCCCTCTCCCTCTGACCGTCCCTTAAAAAAAGAAGAGTGAACATGTGATGTGACCCAATTCTGATCACACTCTATAAGCCTTCTCAGTAAAGCTTGGTAAAGTGCAACTGGAGAGTCCCTGATGGAAAGCAAAGGGGGCGGGATAATGGAATTGAGGTATACGTTCTGTCTGTGTGTCCTTCCAGGTGGGTGCTGACATATGTGGCTTTGCACTGGATGCCCCCGAGGAGCTCTGTAGGCGGTGGATGCAGCTGGGGGCATTTTATCCATTCTCCAGGAATCACAATGGCCAAGGCTACAAGGTAAGTCTCCCAGGAGACATGATCAAAACAAATTTGGCGTACATTAGAGCGAGATCCCTCTGCATCCTCGCCAAGACATCTAGTGAGCCAACCTCCTACCTGGTGCTTCACTTAGGCTAATTTGCAATTAACCAGGGCCTCTGACCTGCCATTAAAATGCTCTGCTGTCACAGAATCTGCTCTTGATACTGCTGTGGTCAAGGAGATGGAGAGTCTGTGAAGGTTTTCATCAAACGTCTGTACACTCTGTCTACATTGCTCATTTTGTAATGAGAATCAGATGAGGAAGTACTTCAAAATGATTGAAATGGCAGTCTCCCGAGAGAGCAGTCCTTAGCGTGACTGAGGCTGGATGAGTTGCCAGGTAGTGAATGACATTTACTTGGTGAAGCGATCTCCCTCTGCCCACCTGTACTGCTCAGAGGCTGAGTTTATACCCTAGGCCTCAGGTCTTTGAGGAAGGAAACTCTCGGTTCTGATGAATGGGGTCTGGAGTTCTCCAGATGCTTCTGTCATTTGTAGCTGGATCACAGTGGCAACATCTTATTCCTCCCAGGCCCAGGATCCTGCCTCCTTTGGAGCTGACTCTCTGCTGTTGAACTCCTCCAGGCACTACCTTACCATCCGCTACACCCTATTACCCTACCTCTACACCCTCTTCTACCGCGCCCACAGCCGGGGGGACACAGTGGCCAGGCCCCTTCTGCATGAGTAAGTTCACCGCATCCAGAGGGTTTTTGTTAACGTGACTGGCCACATGGACAGTTTCACCAAATATCAGAGCGAACATTGAGACACTCTGAGCGGTTATTCAGATATCTCTCTCTGTTTTTTAACTGCAATACTCAGTTGGTATTTGCAAGGCCACTGCCGCCTCCATACTGTTGTAGAGGTATATTTAAGTGGTAGAGCCTGTTCTCTTTTGGGGATAGAAGAAGACTAAAATCACCGGACTTCGGGGTCTTTGTTCTGCCACCAACTAACTTTCTGTCTTAGACAAATCATTTAAGTTCTTTCATCCATTGTTTCTTGATTCTTAGTTTAAAGGATTTGATAGCTTGATCAGGATGGTGTCTTCTGTAATGCACTATGTTCAGGCCCTAGGATGAACCTGTTATTTACACACGAATAAGAAGATTACAGAGGATTTCTAGAGTTCCAGAATTTTTACTGCCAGCCAATGAGCATCTCCAACTTAACCCTGAAAAAGGCCACTTAAGAGGTTTTCCATGTCAAAATGCAGTGAACCCCCTTAGGTGTCTGACATTCTAGGCTCTCAGGCACGTATCTGCTATTATCGTTATCATTATCATTATTATCATTATTATTATACATTCATTTTTTTGAGTCCATTTTTACCATCTCCTGGAATTCCCTGTTAAAAGGCAGATACCCTAAAAGAGAAAAGAGTAGAATTTTAAATTATCTGCAATTTGTCGTGATCGCATCCAGTTCCTTCTTGATAGTCAGCTGAAGTTTTAAGATGTATTCCTTGTTTTACTTATTTTATTTAAAGGGGCATATGGTGAACAGACTTACAGTCTGGACCCTGCCTAGCGTACATCCTGGAATAGGCACCTATGTCCAACCAGGGAAAGAAAAGGAGAGTGCATGGGTTGGGGAAAGTGGGCCCATCTGCTGGGCTTGAGTAGGTGTCCCAGAATAATTTGGGGGGTTACCACAGGCAGGAGGCCTGCATTTTTTGGACAGTTGAGGGGAGAGCTGTCAGGAAGCATTGGCCTGGATCGCAGTGAACGTCTCTGATCTCCAGGTTCTATGGGGACAGCAGTACGTGGGATGTGCACCAACAGTTTTTATGGGGCCCCGGCCTCCTCATCACTCCGGTTCTGGATGAGGTAAGTGTCCCACAGAGGCATGCGGATGGTCTCTGCTTCTGTTCCTGCTACCCTCCAAACTCTTCTCTTCCTGGAGCCATTTGTCTTCTCTTTATTCCAAGCCTGAGTCCAGCCTCCATGGCTGAGATGGCCTTGAAGACAGTGTGCTGAGGTTTGGGGAAGTTGGAGATGGCTGACTCTGGAGTCTTTTTTTCTTGACCAAGTTCCCAATCAGTGTAGAAGCAACTGTTGGTGGTTCTGGGTTTGGGAATGGTCCTATTTGTCATCAGAGTCTCCTAGCAGATCCTTCTTGCTCCTTGAGGTAGAGGCAGAATGGAGCAGGGGGCCGGCAGTGTCTCTAAGGTTGGAGGGAATCAGGGTCTGATTGCTGTCTCTGCCTCTTAGCACCGTGTGGCCTGGGGCGAGGTCCTCAGCTGGAAAGGTGAGATCATGAGAGTACCTGCCACCGGGGACAGTTGGGAGGATTACATGAGTTCATGTAAAGCTGGAGTTTTTACCACAACCTGTATTTCAAGATTATTACTATTCCTAATGTGCTTCCACTGGGATTTTCCTTTGGGTTGCCCAGTTATTGCTTCTATTATTCCTATTAGAAGAAAGGCATGATTTGATAACAGAGAAAAGAAAGGCCACTTATGCTCTCTCAGTATATGGTTAAGAAGCTCCTTTGGGAGTGCCAAGAAATCCATTTTATCCCCTTCAGAGGCTGGGCCATGAAGAACAATATTTTGTTTTAATTTCAGGGTGCAGAGAAAGTGATGGCGTATATGCCCGATGCCGTCTGGTACGATTACGAGACTGTAAGTAGCTTTGACTTTTCTTAAACTCCTCAAGACCACAGCTGCACAGACAAGATGCCTCCCTGGAGAGAGGAACATCTGTCCACATCCCCAGGAGTGTTTCTGTACTGTTTTCTGTCATTTCATAGCACAGTTGATAAAGTGTGCCTAAGTCACTTCATGTCAGTCATGAAGAGATCTGAAAAAAACACTTTTATATACTTTATTCAACACAGGATAATGGCAAATATTGGAGGGTCCAATGGAGGGACCAAATATTGGTCAGGAGTCAGCTAACTTGTTTAAAACTATCCGTTCATCTAATATATGTCAGATAGCCTCGGCATGGCGTAAACGCTCCCCCAAACTCCCAAGTGATGGCAAAACCTGTTGTTCTTAATTTGCTTCCTTCCTCTCATTTGATTGCCTGGCTAGACACCAAGTCATCTGGGTGGAGAAAGGATAGCTGTAGCTAACTCAGCCCATGGGTAACAGGGGGGCGCGAATGTGCCATCCTGCCAAGGTGCTTGACGTGTGTGCCTGCATCAGGGGGCCCAAGTGAGATGGCGGAAGCAAAGGGTGGAGATGGAACTTCCTGGAGACAAAATCGGACTTCACCTTCGCGGAGGCCACATCTTCCCCACACAACAGCCGGCCACCACCACAGCGGCCAGGTAGAGCATGGCAGGAGTTTCCTTCAAGGGGAGGCAACTGACAAAGCTGGTCATTTCCGTTCCCATCTGTTGCCCATGCGGAAGGTGCTGAAGCTTTCCGTGGTGTGTGGGAAAGAAGAGGACTGGGGTGTGTGTGTCCATCAAACTCTGTCCCTTGTATTTCTCTCAGCCTCTTCTGAGGAAGTTGTGATTTCCAAGAGGGATTTTGAAAGAACTTCACCCCTGTCCTTCCTTAAGTCTCCTGCATTTCTCCTCGAAACACACTGGCTGCTGGGGTCCTTATCCTTCCTCGTTTTCCCAGGACTAGTTCAATTTTAGCACCAAAAGTTCCATGTCCTGGGAAACCTCTCAGTTCCAGGTAAATGGGGTCTGTTGATCACGCTACCTGCTTGGCCAGATCATCCATCCATTGTGCTACGCTCTTGACTCATTCATTCTCATTTCTAGGGAGAGGGAGTCCACTTTCCATTACCCTATAATCTCAGTTTCCCATTCCTTTCCTCCCAGTGAGCCATTTATTTCTTGTGATGCAGAACAGGGCACAAAAATTACTTGTTCACTTCAAATCTCCCTCATATCACTGATTTCTCCTTTTTGACTTTGATTCTGAAATTCTAGACTCCATCTGTACTAAAGACATACACATTTATATATGTCGCTGAAAGTCTTATTTGTTTTTAATAGACTGGGAGTTCTTTGGAGGTTAGAAATCTTTCTTTTCTTTTGAACTTTCCTTACTACCTTAATTTTTCATATTGCAGACTTTTTATGACAACGAGGCAGAATACTTCTTCATCTAACACCAAATGGTTTCTTTGTATCTAATTGTTCAACTTCAGGCTGTTCTGCATACTGGTACCAAAATTATCTTTCCAAAATGAAGATTTTTTTTCTTGTTGCTCCCCTGCGCCAAGTCCAAATTCTTTCACGGGTAGCGTTTCCAGGCCAATCACAATCTGGTTGCAAGTTAAAAACTGTGCCTCCTGAGACATCTGAATGCACACCTAAGGACCAGCCATGCCCCAAAGCTTGCTGTTCCCAGACATACCCATCTATTCGACTGCATTTGGGCTTCTATACTTATTAGCCTCTCCAACATCCTTTGCCTGGTCCGTTCTTAATGACTTTCCAAATTAAAAATTTCATCTGCAAGAAAGCTTCCTCAGTTCTTCCAGCAGAGAGAGTAATGCCACTCCAAACTTTTTAAAAATACTTTTTAGTATACTGTTAAATATTATTTTGTGCCTTAGCTGATTTTTTTTTCTTTCCTTCTTAATATTTTTAAGTATTTCAATCATAGTTACTTTATACCTTGTATCTGAAAATTCTATTATCTAAAATCCTTTGGAGAATCCAAATTATTGTTCATTGTTTTTGCCAACTTTCTCTCATGCTGGCTTATTACCTTGAGTATTTAAATAGTAATGTTTTTGTTTTTCAAATGTAGTGATCTTAAGGATCCAAACATGGGTCTTATTCCTCCAGGGAGGATTTGCCTTTTTCTTTGGTTGCGAATCAGGACTGCTGTCAACTTGAGGTCATCTTAAGCAACCTTTAAGGATCATGTATTGGGTGGGTCTTTCAGGGTGCCTGGTGTCCCCCAGAATATTTAGTCAGTCACACTGCTGGAAGTGCTGTTCTGGACTCGTATAAGTCTTTCAGCTTCTGTGTCTCCCTACTTTCTGCCTTGATTATGCAGTGAATATGTTTAATCCTTCTTATAATGTTTAAGGTCATCGATAGAGTTGTGATCTCTTCATCTTTGTATCTCTTAGACGTGCTAATAAACAAGAGCTACTTAATACATGTATATTAAGTGAAAGCAGGTGATTTGATTGATAATGGAACCTGCCTTGCATAGGGCACAGTGGAGGGCTGGGCAGAAAGTGTGAGGTCAGTGACGGACCAATGGGAGCAGGAAACCGGGAGGGAGTGCGGGGAGCAGTGACACCAGGCAGGAGTCCACGTGAAATAGCTCTTTCTCTAGGCCCATCTACTTTACCATCTTTTCGAGTTGTGTTTTGTGTTTTGTATTTTAAGCTATAAAGCAGAAAACTATAGTGTTTTATTTTCCTCTCCAAATGAACTAATAATAAATAATCAAACTAGGAAAGTTGCCATTAAATAGGTGGACGTTATTGTATTCTATTGCTTTCTGAGTCAAAATGGAGTCACTTTCTTTGGCAGGAAAAAATATATATCCCCCCAACCATCGTTAAGGCTTCCCCTGCACAAACTCCAAAATTAGGCTGAACCAATTATTGTCTAGAATGTCTTTCTCTTCTAATTGTCTGTATTCTGAATAATAGTTGCTTCAGCAACTTTTATAGTAGCAATTACAATGATTCTGGTACTTAAATTCTTGTTTCCTACGTAGGTGTTTATTGATAATGTTCACAGTATTTCTGTCTCTTGTGACGTTACTGATTCTAGAGAAAGATGAGCCTGTTGATTTTGCTTTTGTGCCTGGAGAAAAGTCGAGCCATCTGCTGCTAGTAACCTTTCCCATCTGAAATCTGATGGCAGGGGTGCCTGGGTGGTGTAGTTGGCTAAGCGTCCAACTCTTGGTTTAGGCTCAGGTCATGATCTCAGGCTTGTGGGGTTGAGCCCCGTGTTGGGAGCCAGTGCTCAGCAGGGAGTCTGCTTGGCATTCTCCCAATCTCTCTCCCTCTGCCCCTCCTGCTTGTGTGCTCTCTCTCTCTCTCTCTCTCTCTCTTAAACTGGTTTTGGTTGGTGCCAAAAAAAAGGAAGGAAAGAAATCTGATGGCAACATTCTCAGCTCATTTGGCAAAGTTCTTTGAGTCTTAAGTGTTTGTTTCCTTCCTAAACCTTGTTTCCCACAGCCGCCGGAACCCTCTTGGTCTTATCATTGCCCTAGATGATAACAAAGAAGCAAAAGGCGAACTTTTCTGGGATGATGGGGAAACTAAAGGTGAGCACTGTTATGACAGCCTGCGTCTGCCACTGGTCATTCAGCCAGGGGAGAAATCTCACCAGCTACAGCAGCGCTAATCACTCAAGAGAATTTTCGTTTGGGTTGCACTGTTCACAGCTAGTGGTAGATGGACCACAGAAGGGAGGAAAACATGGGTCTACCTCTTAGAATGCTCCCATCAGACAAGCAGTATAGACGGGCTCTCATTTTGTGGTCAACGGGCATCTGAAAGAGATGTTTTCAAGACTGTGCCTGCCATTCGCCGTAGATCTCTTCCCCTAAAATACAAAAGTCGATGATAGGAAGCATATAGCATGGCAGCGAGGCAGAGTGAGAGTGTGTTCTCGTGTGCCTACATCCAGCCATGCTTCTTCGCGCGTTTTCCTGGCTCCACTATACTAACAACTCTTGTGGCTCAAGCTTAGGAGATAGATTCACTTGAGGCATGTGCCTTGGAAGCACTTGGAAGGGAATCTTTTCAAGGGTAAGGTAGGAAGGAAAAGGGAAAACAGTGGCCTGGCCTTGGAGACTCTGTCTACAGTCTTGTCATTCTCAAGATGGAGCTTTCAGTATAGCCAAGGGGTGATGTGTCCTCCTGTGGTGGGCAGGTCAGAGGCTGACTCACCTTTCTCATACTTTCAGATACTGTGGCCAATCAAGTTTATCTCTTTTGTGAGTTTTCTGCCACCCAAGTAAGTAGCACATTTTTATGAATCTTAGGTGTGGGCTTTTCTCTGACAATTAGCTCATGTGTGTTTGTATATGTGTATAATTACATTTATAGCTTCATATGCCTTTATGACTGTAGATGAGCACATTTCCTTTTTTTGAAGATAAAAGAACTTTATTTTTTATTATTATTTGTTTTTATTTTAATGCCAGTTAGTTAACATGCAGTGTTATATTAGCTTCAGGTGTACAGTATAGTTATTCAGCACTTCCATAGATCACCAGTGCTTAGTTGGGCACATTTCAGTTTATAACTTAACTCCCAATAATTGAATCATCCATGTTAGTAAAAAGAGGCAATGGTATTGTTAAATCAAAGTAGCCAGTCTTTTAAAATGCAGTTTAAAAAAATTTCTCTGTGTGTGTTTCTCTCTTTTTCACTCAGGAGAGTATTGAAAAAGTTGGTACTCCTTGAGCACATGTTAGTAGAGACAGCTTAAGAGGCATTCAAAGCAGTTTTGGGTATCTGGTCTACGATAGAATATTTGAGTGACTTCACAAACCAATCAGCAGACCTTTGTGTTTAATTGTTTTGCAGAACTACTTGGATGTGAAGATTTTGCAGTCAACTTACAAAGACCCCAATAATTTAGTATTTAAAGAGATTAAACTTCTTGGGACCCAGGAACCTACCAATGTTACTGTGAAACACAACGGTGTCCCAAGTCAAATTTCTCCTAAAGTCACTTATGATTCTAACCTACAGGTAAAAATTAATTTTGTTGAGATAGTTTAGCAAGAATTCATAGCTTATGGTGTTCCTTCTTGCCAAAGTCGCATGGGTTCCTGAAGGACCAGGGCACACTCTGAGCTCTGGGGTGGGGAAGTAAGAGGCTTAGGAGAGAAAAAAAAGCAAGGGGTAAGCCAGAGCTAGAATGGATCAGGGAGCTGCTGAGAAACTGGAATAAGATAAAATGGTCTTTTCATCTATTTCTGTTTCTCTTAACTATTCATTCCCTCATTTGCCCATCAATCAAAAGAGCAAAAGAGCATTTGTCTAGATGCAAGACTGAGATATCAGAATAAGTGGACTTGAGGATTGAGACAGGGACAGAAGAAGAGTGAAGTGTGGAGTGTGGGGAAGAGGATTAGAGGCAAAGTGAGTCTGAAATCTGCTGACTGAAGCTAGAAAGGCAAAGTGGGAGACGGGATACTTATTAATTAAAATTTTGAAGTGCATTCTTGTTTTTTTTACTATGTTCAGATACATAGACTGTCTCTCCAACACATACGTTTTAGAGAAATATTTCAAGTCAAAAAATCTGTTCAACTTAGCTAATGGCTACTTACTTGGTTAGATAATGATAAAAAATAATTTTTCATCAGTTGTAAGGAGACCTGATGCTCCTGAGCAGGTTGTAATCTGTTCCCCTGGTATCTTAGCATTTGAGGAATCCTTTCTCCCATCCTCCTCACTCCAGGTCCTCCAGATGATCTGGGACTGGGAGCTGCTGGGTCAGCATGTTTGTGAGAGATCTTCCAAATTTGGAGAAAATAAGTAAATCTGGCATTCTACTATAATGATGTATTGATTGCATTGGCCATTTTGCCTTATAAAGTAAGTTGAGGATACCTACATTATAAAGTGAGAAATAAAGTACAGTTGACCCTTGAACAGCATGGGGGACACTGACTCCCCTATGCCATCAAAAATCCATAAATAACTTTTGACTCCCCAAATCTTAACTACTAATAGCCTACCACTGACCAGAAGCCTTACGGCTAAACTGTCGATTAACACATATTTTATATATCATACGAATTCTGTACTGTATTCTTACAATAAAACAAGCTAGAGAAAAGAAAATGTTATTAAGAGAATCTTAGGAAGAGAAAACATTTGCAGTTCTGTACTGTATTTATTGAAAAAAACATGCGTGTAAGTGGACCCATGCAGTTCAAACCCATGTTGTTCAAAGGACAACTGCATTATATGGTTAGTTATGTGTACAGCAGAGGGCAAGCCATTTGAAAGGTGCATATACGAAAACAAACTCAATTAATATTTGTTAAATTAATTAATATAAGAGCAAAGGAAATGTCGATGCTTGAATTTGGGTGGTGGGGAGACACAGTTTATACACAGGAAACTACCAGGAAGGGGACAGGCAGTCCAAAGCAACACAGAGGAAATGTTAACTGACATTATATCTAATTTAATGTTCAAAGCGTAATGGCCTAGCTGAGCAAAGCCGTTGGAGAAGTCAGGGTTCGAGCTGGACTTAAAAATTTAGTTCTTAATCGTGAACTTTAATATTCTAAGCTGAAATAGTGAGTCAGAAGGCAACTTTTATATAAGGCAGGCAACTAGCAGAGCATTCCACAAGAGGGCACCATTTTCCTAGAAAGAGCATTTGTCTAGCTAAAGCGTGCAAGATTGAGATACCAGAATAAGCCAATCTAAGGATTGAGACTAGCCTGACATTTGTCTGTGAGTATTCTATAACTAGAATAGGGAGGGGATCAGTTTGGACAAATAATTTGTGGTCAGGTTTTGGAGGGTCTTAGATGCCAAAGTGAGAAGATTGGATTCTCAAAGTGTGTCCTATGAATCCTTGAATCAAGGCTGTGCCATTATGAAACCATTGGTCTGGGGCATGAGATTTGTAGAATAGGGAAGTTTAAGGTGAATTTAGACTGAGAAGAGCCTGGAAAAGGGGTGATTATCTGTAGAGTGTGATTTTGTAAATCTGGGCAAATGAGGACCTGCACTACGGAAATTGCTAATTAAAGAAGAGATAAAAATACATAGAAAATATTAAATATTTGAATTAGTGGGGCTCGAAGAAGCAAGGTTTTGGGTTTTCAGGCTTTGGTCTTGGAGAAATGAAGAGGTTGGGATGTTAGGATATTAGAAATGGAAGGAAATGTAATGATTTTGCCAACTCCCCACTTTTGCTGTTGATGAACCTGAGACCCAAAGAATTGAAATGATTTGGCTAAGTTTCCCCAGCAGAATGGAGATGAGAACACAAGCCACATGATTCTTACTCCTCTGTTCTTGCCACCGCTCCAGACCAAGGCAGGACAATAGGCTAGGGAATGGAAGGCAAGAACATAAGCTCGATTTCAGATGGTCCCGTGAGCTCATGTGTGTTATGCTACAAGGGGAAACACAGAAGGCCTTCTTGTCCAAATAAGGAAGAGGAAGGGGAGTCAGGAAAAGAAAGAAAATGGTCACTAATCACAGTAGATTTTATTTGGCCTAATTCTCTTCCAAACGTGGCATACAAGATTCTGATAGAGTTGGCACATCTGCGCTCTTCCCCTCTCTCCACGTAGCTCTCTTCCTAGAAGCTCCAGTGGGGTGTCACTTTGGATTGTTGAGAGTCTACTCTGGTTTCTATTTCCTCTCCTAAAAGAGGTTTCAGATCTTGCAAGGCCTTTGCCCTGGGGATAAATTTCCTTGTCACTTGCCCATCCCTACAGGTTGCTCTTATTACGGGAATTGATCTTATCCTGGGAGAAGCATACACGGTGGAGTGGGACCTGAAGATAAGGGATGCAGAAAAAATAGACTGTTTCCCTGACGAGAGCGGTGCTTCTGCAGAAAACTGTACGGCCCGTGGCTGTGCCTGGGAGGTAACCGTGCTGACGACGCTAGCATGCCTCGAAATCCTCGCCACTCAACCTACAGTTTCATGAGCATAGAGCTCCAGTACCTGTGTCACTGACTAAAACCCATAGAAAGGCAGGACTTCCAAAGGAACCTGAGTCTGTATCTGGATACAAACAATAGATAGGGACAGGAGTGGGTCTTTTTTTTTTTTTTTTTTTTACAAATACTTTGTAAGGAGACCAGAAATTTAAACTTACGTCACTACCGATGAATATATAAGGAAGTGAGTGATGGCCTGGATTTATCTCCCTGTAAATGGCCTTTTCTAGCCCCTTTATATTTGATAATTCTAGGACCGCATGCCGAGCTGACCTTAGCTTTCCTTTCCAGGTGCCCACTTCCCCTGGAGTCCCATTTTGTTATTTCGTCAATGATCTGTACTCTGTCGACAATGTTCAGTACGACTCACAGGGAGCCACTGCGACCATCTCCTTAAAGTCTTCTGTCTATGCCTCTGCTCTGCCCTCCGTACCCGTGACCTCCCTCCGTCTGCGTGTGACCCACCATAAGAATGACATGCTGCAGTTTAAGGTATGTGTTTGCAGTACACATATGTGTCATGTGCCCACTGGGCACTTGGCAGTTCCATTACTTTTTGCTAGTCAAGGTCACAGAACCCTAAAATAAGTGCGTTCCTCTGAGCTAACCATGCCGCAGTATACTAGATCATTATCCTGGGGGCATTGAGAGACCGTTGATCGACCGGTGCTGCCCCTTCTGATGTGCATTTTGAAAAGGTCACTGTGTCTACCCTAAGGAGAATGGTTAGGAAAACAAGAGTGAAAAAGGAGAGGCCAGCTAGGAGGCTACCAGTTCGGTTGTCCATGTGGGCAGCCAAGTGTAGACCAGGTATAAGAAAGGAAGAGAATGGTGGGAGAATTGAGAAGGTAGGATCCTAGGATCTGGTGATGACTGCAAGTAGGCGATGAGAGAGAGGGAGGCATCAAGGACGATTGCCATGTTTCTGGCGTGTGTCTCTATATGGATGGCAGTGACGTTACCTGGAATGGGAACACTGGAAGGTTTGGGCTTGGGCAAAATAAGATGATGGGTTCAGTTTAGGATGCTGAATTTAAGATAGCTGAGAAATAGCCACGAGAGTGTAGAGATCTCGTTCTCTCCTATGTTTTAATTACACCTAAGGATTAGTGACAGGCTGTTCTTATGTCTGTTTCTCTACTAACTTGTAAGTTTCTCAAAGACAGGAATTTCTCCATTCATATTTGTGTTTCTGAAAGCTGACACAGAGTCTGGTAGCGAAAGAGTAAATGGAAGACATTGGGCATTGCCCAAGAGGTCCATCACGAACTGCTATCAACCTAGGCTGAGTCCTTTTACATCTTCTAATGCAGGGAAGATGCTCTTTGATATTCCTATTCTCACCATAGCACTGGCCTGTGGTAGGCACCTAGTGAGTTTGAACTAAATGAACTTGCTTGCATTTCTGGCTTCAACCCTTTCCTCCTCTACCTCCTGATCACACAGTAGCTATCCCCCTAGCATTTGCCTCTTTCTGACCTGGCTTTAATACTCTGGGCCTTTGCATTTATTTTTCTAGCAGGACTGACTTCATCTCCTTGCTGTGCTTGCTTAACAGCTGCAAAGGTTTTAACACACAGCCTGTATTTTGCCCATGACATCATCTCAGTCTTCCAGAAACCGTGTTGGGCATTTTCTTCTCTATAATCTCACAACACTCCCATGTAGCTGTACATGAGCTTATCATCACCCAGGTATTGTGGGTACCTCTTTTACCTCCTGTTAGCATGTGAATTTCTTAAAAACAGTGATCGTGTCTTGTCTGATTTAGCGTCTCCAGTGTCTATAGTACAGTATCGGGCAGGAGTAGAGAACGAACTCGGTGAATCAATTTAGATGCCATTTGTAGCAAGGACATCTATGATTATTTTAATCAAATAGAGTTCACTTTTTTGACTTTTTTTCAATTCAGAGAAGCTTTCAAATATTCACATACACCCACAGATAAAGTAATAAATAATATATTCATATGTACCAAACTGATACCATACTGATTTTCCAAGATATCACCAATGTCAAAGTGGATGTGTTAACTGTAATAGGGGCCTTAAAAATGAGATATGACAGACTCAGATCAAAATGTCAAGTCTAACATTTTCTTTGATATGGTAACTAAATCCCTGGTATCATGAGCTTAATGAAGACAAAGAAAGACAGCATTCAGCCTCCATGTCAAAGATACCAAGTTGCTGCTAAGGATATAGGTTTCTCGAATACTATATTTTCCTAATTTTCTTCCCACTCACCCTAGATTTATGATCCCAACAATAATCGGTATGAAGTCCCAATCCCTCTCAACATACCCACGGTTCCATCCAGCACCTCTGAGAGCCAGCTCTACGATGTCCTCATTAAGAAGAATCCATTTGGGATTGAAATTCGCCGGAAGAGTACAGGCACTGTGATGTAGGTGGCTAGTCTGATTTGGAATTGATGATTCCCTGCACTGCCAGGTCCATTGTCCTTGGAGACATCCGGGCTCAAAGCATCACACTATACATTTCCAGATTTATGAATACATTATTCCCTTGGGGCCTGTTCTTACGAGAAATTTTTAGTCCCTTGGCAATAACTGCTGAGGCACTTATGTGTACCGATGTTTATGGGGTGGTTAGTATATCTTATCTCTATATTACGGGGTTCTAGAAGACGAGGTCTCTCTTCTCATGGCAAAAATTAATGATCAATAACAAAGATAACTTAAGTTAAAATATAAATAAGGAAGTTTAGGTAGTGACAACTGCTCTGTAGGAAAAAGAACAGGGTAATCAAGAGTTATGGGGAGTTTACTGCTTTTGATACTGTGGTCAGAGTAGGTGTCTCAGAGAAGGTGACATTTGAAATAGGACTTGGATGAGAAGGATCCACCCATGTGGAGATCTGGGGGAAGGGGAAGAACATTCCAGACAGATGGAATAAGAAGTGCACAGGCCATGAAACAGGAGCAACACCTGCCATATGGTGGGGGGGGGAATGCCCGTTGTGGTTGGAACACATTGTAGTTGGATCGCTCCGGATGTTAAGTAGCAAAGGGACTATAGAGAGGAGCAAGTGTGGCACCCTGGGCTGGTGTGGCGTGGTAGCACCCGAGATGTAAAAAATCATTAGATTTGGCGACCGGGAAAGAGAACTGAAGGGAAGCAGTGAGAGAGGAAACCAGAAGAATGAAGGCTCACTCCTGGGCTGGTAGCAGATGCACTAAGATTATTTTAACCAAATAGACTTTGTGTTTGTTTGGAGGATTAACAGGGCTCTGGGTGGGAGAGGGAATCAAGAGTCCTGTTGTCCTTGAAAAGTCAGCTGCTTGAAGCCAACAGGATAGCCCATGTCTTTTCCAAATACTCCCTTTTGTGTTACAGTTGGGACTCTCAGCTCCTTGGCTTTACCTTCAATGACATGTTCATCCGCATCTCCACTCGCCTTCCCTCCCAGTACATCTATGGCTTTGGGGAAACTGAGCACACAGCCTTTCGGAGAGACTTGAACTGGCACACATGGGGGATGTTTTCCAGAGACCAGCCCCCGGGGGTAAGGACAGAACATCTGGGATCTGTGTCTACTTCTCTTCGTGCACTATGTACACTCCATTCTTCGTCTTCCCAGACTCACCTTACATGGTCACATTTCCGCATTTAGATGAGTGGGCCAATGCTCAGTCTCCTTTGTTTTTTGTGTATTTAGTTTATTGCACAGAGAAGATGGACGGGACATACCTCGTCAATCATTTTTTGTGGAGTTTCTTTCTCGGCCACAATGTCTTTTAACCTCTTACCACTTTTCTCCTACGACTCTCCCAGTATAAGAAGAATTCCTACGGAGTCCACCCCTACTACATGGCACTGGAGGAGGATGGCAGTGCCCATGGGGTGCTCCTGCTAAACAGCAATGCCATGGGTAAGGTGATGCCAGCATCTCTCCTTCTTTTTGTGAACCATATTTGGCAACATGTAAGAAGGGATGTAAGAAGGGATAGAGAGACCAGGTGAGTCCCAAATATCCTGGAGGTCAGCCAGTGGGAGCCATCTTTTTAATTTGAATTAGTGGTGAGGCTATGGGTAAGAGTGCTCATTCTGGGGGTGTGAAGGTGTGAAGAAAATTTATACGGTGTGTTGGAAAGGAGGTGGAAAGTCAGGAGGTGGTGGTGGGGAGCATGTATGTAAAAGCTGGTCGAATCAGAGTCAGATCTATCCCTGACTTAACAGTTTTATATGAATGTCAGTTTCCTGGTTTTGACAACGGCCAATGGTTATATAAGATGTTGTCATTGAGGGAAGCAGGGTAAAATGTACAACGGAACTCTAGTACTATCTTTGCCGCTTCTTCTAAGTCTTAAACTATTCTCAAATGAAAGTTAGAGTAATAATTTTAAAAGAACAGAATGACAGAACATATTATAAAAAATAATAAACCCAATGGCAAAAAAGTCCAGGGGTAGCACCCTGTAGACTTTCACTTAACTTCTTCAATTCTATGTAGGTATAGTAAAAATACTTTCTCTTAATACTCCCTAATAAAGAGGTATAGGAAGAAGGAAAAGGTAAGAATTTCAGGGGTAATTCCTCACCTTGAAGGTTCCAGCTTGATTGGTATTTTCCTATATTTTCAGATGTGACATTCCAGCCCCTGCCTGCCTTGACATATCGCACCATAGGAGGAATTCTGGACTTTTATGTGTTCTTGGGGCCAACTCCGGAGCTTGTCACTCAGCAGTATACTGAGGTAGAGGGGAATTAAACTGATTATCATGTATTCATACAGTAGGTTCTGAGTACCCAAATCCACATTTATTAGCATAACTCTCAGATGAGACCTGGAATTGTTGATCCTTCTGGAAGATAGACTATAAAACGAGGAGCAAGAAATATATCCCAATAACCATGAAATTTACAGCCTTTCAAAGCATTGCAGAATAGCAGAAGTAGCAGTGGTGCCAGTGGTGGTGGTGGCAGTGGCAATGATAGTGATGGAGGGTGGTGGTGGTGATGTATTGCAGGTGGTGGAGGCAGTAGGTGATGGAGCTGCTGGTGTTGGATGTGGTGGTGGAGGTGATCATGGTGCTGGAGATGGTCGTAGTGGAAGTGGTGGAGGTGATGGAGGTGGTAGTGGAGGTGGTACAGGTGGTGGTGGTGGGGGAGGAGATGGTTGTGGTGGAGGTGGTGGTGCAGGTGGTGGTGGACGTGGTTGTGGAGGTGGTGGTGGTGGTGCAGGTGGTGGGGGGGTGATGGTGGTGGTGGAGGTGGTTGTGGAGGTGATGGTGGAGGTGAGGATGGTGGTGCAGGTGGTGGTAGTGGTGCAGGTGGTGGTGGAGGTGGTGGTGGTGCAGGTGGTGGTGGAGGTGGTTGTGGAGGTGATGATGGTGGTGGAGGTGGTGGTGGTGGTGCAGGTGGTGGTGGACGGGATGGTAGAGGTGATGGTGGAGGCGATGGTGGTGGTGGTGGAGATGGTTGTGGTGGAGATGGTCGTGGTGGAGGTGGTGGAGATGGTGGTACAGGTGGTGGTGGATGTGATGGAGGTGGTAGTGGAGGTGGGGCGGTGGGGGAGGTGGTGGTGGTGCTGTAATAGTGATGGTGCTAGTAGTGATGGTGGTCATAGTGGTCACGACAGTTACTTTGGCAGCAGCAACACACACGTATATAACTTACTACATGTTACCGATCATTTTACATATATTAACTCATTCAGTCCTCACAAAAAAACACTAATGAAGCAAGTACTGTTAGTATTCCCGATTTACAAGTGAAGGAACTGATGAACAAGGGTTTCTTAACTTCTGCACAGGGCTGCATAGCCAGCAAGATTGGAGCCTGTGTGGTAAGCCAGGCCTTTTGCCTCTAGATTCTGAATACTGAACCAGCAAGCTAGACTGCCTCTAGGAATCAGAGTAAAAGTAGATTTTCCAAGATTCTTAGGCGAAGAGGTAAGACCTAGCAGAAAGCTTTCTCCGAGGTATCCCAGTGGTTCTGCATCCTCCCAGTTTCTCTCCATTTTTGAAGTTGTTGATTATCCAACCTGGGACACTGAAAGATGTTCTTATTAATTTGTTGACAATTTCAATCCAGATTCTCCTTTTTAAGGGCTTAAATTTTCTGTCTATTTTCTAGCTGATTGGTCGGCCAGTGATGGTTCCTTACTGGTCCTTGGGGTTTCAGCTGTGTCGCTATGGATACCAGAACGACTCCGAGATTGCCAGCTTGTACGATGAGATGGTGGCTGCCCAGATCCCTTATGTATGTTCTCCGTATGTGGTGGATTGGCTCTGGGACCTCATGGCCTACACTCGTTGTTCCTGTATTTGGATTAGCTTCACTTGGAGGGGGGCGGTTCCTATAACCACATCACTTTAAAACATTTGGTCAAAAACATCTTTGTTATCTTAAGAATAAAAGGTTGCCCAAACAGTAGTTTTGCCTAATTGAAAAGAAAATGCCCTAATTTAGTCAGATCACCATAGGTGCAGATACAACCTCAGTTCCAACACTTTGCTGGTACAGTGTTCCCTCAGCTTTGAGCTGAGGCTGAAGATAGGGATCTTGGGTATCAGTTTCCGGATGAAATAAATATGGAAACAAATTCTGTCCTTCACTGGAGGGCAAGAGGGGTCCAAGAATCAGAGAATTGATCCCATGAACTTCTTACATGTTTTATTTTATTCTATTTATTATTCTCTTGTTTACAATTATTGCTATTAATGGTAAGCATGGCATGCAATATTTCATTTTTAATAAGAAAGCTATATCTGATAACCTCCAGGACTGGATATTCTAAAGCAATCCCAGGTGCTTTTTTTAAAAGAAAAGATAGATTTGCCATCCACCCAGTTGTATTAGTGCTGGGGAGTTTACATTATATTCTTTTCTCTGAAAGTGAACCACTGATCCCAGAGGCAGCCTCTTGGGCAAGGTAACCACAGGCACTCCTACTGGCCTTTCACAAAGTACTTTCTCATCTGCTCTTTTCATTTATCCTCCCAACAGCCTTGCCAGATAGGCATTATCATCCTATTTTTGCTGATTTAGTTTTTATTTTCTATTTTATGACTGAAAATTTGAAAATTTCCCAAAATCTAATACCTGATACCTAAGATTGGAAAAAGTCAAAAGAAAGCCCTCTGAAATTCACTCACTGGTTAGTGGAGGCTTGTTCTCACCTGGAACCTGGTCTTTTACAAGCAGGAGCCACTCACTTTCCTCCTGTGGTTCCCCAGGATGTGCAGTACTCGGATATCGACTACATGGAGCGGCAGCTGGACTTCACCCTCAGCCCCAAGTTCATGGGATTTCCAGCTCTGATTAATCGCATGAAGGCTGATGGGATGCGGGTCATCCTCATTCTGGTTAGTCTCTCTGTGAATGGGTGGAGTTTGTTGAGGACAGTGAATTGGCTTTGGTGGAGAAAACTTTCTATTGTGTTTCCTTCCATGTTACAAGCAGAGAATTTGAGGTGCAGTAAGAAAGGCGTATTTCCCAGGATTCACAGAAGCACTGTGGTTCAGGCGGAAGCTGGTGCTGTTTAAAGAGTTCTTTTTTTTCTGTCCCGAGTTGTTCTCTGGATTTGTACTTCTCACCTGATCTGTGCTTTGATTTCAGGACCCGGCTATTTCTGGTAACGAGACACAGCCCTATCCTGCATTCACTAGGGGTGTGGAGGATGATGTCTTCATCAAGACTCCAAATGGCGGAGACATTGTCTGGGGAAAGGTATGACCGGAATGGTGATCCACTAATCCCCAGCCTGGGGTGGGTGACTGTTAGTGTGTTTGTGCATGTTGTTTTGGGGCCTTTTCCATTTGGGTTCGGAGATCAGAGGTTCTCATTTTGTCCGTCAATATTTGTCAACACAGTTAAGAAATTTTTAGGGTATGTATGTATGTGTGTGCATTGTGGGATCCACTTTTCTAGATCAAAATCGAAGTATTACCACCTACGACTACGGTTTATAGTTTCTTAGGAAGTACTATATAAGATAAATTATCTAGTGCATTGCTTTTGAATATTTTTCTCTCCACAGGTGTGGCCTGATTTCCCTGATGTCATTATAGACGAGTCTCTAGACTGGGAGACTCAAGTGAAGGTAAAGGGCTGCGGACGTGGGTGAAGTCAGGGCTGCTGGGGAGGGGCGGCCATACTCAGGATAGTGGATATCCCCATGCCGTGGACGTGGGTGTGGTGAGGAATACACTGAGGGATTATGTCCTGTGTGTCCCATCTGTGTGCCAATCACTTTACGTGTAATATTTACTCCCAATTGGGAGGCAGGGATTATTATCCTCAGCATAACTAGGATTTAGAGAGCTTAAATTACTGCTCTGGGGTTTTAGGTAACCAAGTGTTGATTTCAAATCCAAGGCTGTCAGATTCCAAAGGCCCATGAAATGTTTACCTCCCAAGAAATACCGTTTTCCCTGAACGAGTGTATTTATTGTTGTTTTTATCGTTGTTCTTGAGTATCCCTTTTAAACATAGTCTCTAAACACTGCCTTTAGAGATGGGATCTTTGTCTCTGTACATCTGTTTTCCATGGACAGGCTTCTCCATCTTCACTCTTATAAATCCCCCATCCTGGGGAACCTGGGTGGTGCAGTTGGCTAAGTGTCTAACTCTTGGTTTTGGCTCAGGTCGTGATCTCAGTGTCATGAGATCGAGCCCTGCATCTGGCTCTGCTCAGCATGGAGTTTGCTTGAGATTCTCTCTTCCTTTGCCCCTCCTGCTTGTGCTTTCTCTCTCTCAAATAAATAAATCTTAAAAAAAAAAAAAATCCCCCATCCTTCCTTGGGTTGCTCTAATTTGCTCTTACCTCCCAGTTTCCAGCCTTATGTTAAAACTTGCTTTCTCCATGGAACAACTTCTTACTTGTAATGGATCTTAGATAAGGATTCAAGGGAGAGGATCTAGCTTCCTCTTCTCTCTGTTGCTCCTCACAGTTGAGACTATTTGAAGTTTGCTGGTCCAGGCAGACCACATGGACACAGGAGTCTGCCAGGCCAGGGAAGTTCAGGGTCTCCTTGATGTTCATTCGTTCATTCATTCACTCATTCATTCATTTTCTTTTTTAGTATTTTTCTCCTAACACAATTGAAATATAACTGACAAATAAAATTGTACATATTTAAATTGTACAGTGTGGTGATTTAATATATATATATATATAATGAAATGATTACCACAATCAGGTTAATTAACACATTCATCACCTCACATATTTACCATTTGTTGGTGTGTGGTAAGAATGCTTAAGATCTACAATCATAGCAACTTTTACGTATACAATACTGTATTTTTAACTATAATCACCAGGCTGTACATTAGATCTCCAGAACTTAATCATCTTAAAAATAAAAGCTTATACCCTTAGACCAGCATCTCCTCATTTCCCCCACTCCCTTACCCCCCGGTAACCACCATGCTGCTGTCTGTTTCTATGAGTTCAACCTTTTTTTTTTTAGATTTCACATGTGAGATCATATAGTATTTATTTTTCTCTGTATAGTTTTTTCACTTAGCGTAATGTCCTCTGAGTTCAGGTATGCTGTTGCAAATGGCAGGATTTCCTTCTTTCTCATGGCTGAATAATATTTCATTGTATGTATGTATGCCATATCTTCTTTACCCATTCACCCACTGACAGATGCTTAGGTTATTTCCACATCTTGCCTGTTGGGAATAATGCAATGAACACGAGAGTGCCCATGTCTCTTTAGATATTTATTTCATTTTATTCAGTATATATTTCCAGAAGTGGGATTGCTAGATCACATGGTAATTCTATTTTTAATTTTTTGAGGACCCTCCATATTTTTTACCATGTGACTATACAAATTTAAATTACCACCAGCAGTGCACAAGGGTTTCCTTTTGTCCCTGTCCTCACCAACAGTTGTTATCTGTTGTCTTTTTGGTAGAAGCTATCCTAATAGGTGTGAGATGATATCTCATTGTGGTTTTGATTTGTATTTCCTTGATGATTAGTGATGTTGAGTGCCTTTTCTTGTACCTGTTGGCCATCTGTATATTTTCTTTAGGAATTTATCTATTCAGGTCCTTTGTCAACTTTTTAATCTGTTTATTTGGTTTTTTTGCTATTGAATTGTATAAATTCCTTATATATTTTGGAAGTTAATCTCTTATCAGATATATGGTTTGCAAGTATTTTCTCCCATTCCCTAGGTGGCCTTTTTATTTCATTGATTATTTCCTCTGCCGTACAGAAGCTAATTTTTAGTTCTATATAGTCCCACTTGTTTATTTTTGCTTTTGTTGCTTATGCTTGTGGTGTCAGATTTCCCCCCCAAATCATTGCCAAGACCAATGTCAGGGAGCTTTTCCCCTGTTTTCTTCTAGAAGTCTTATGGTTTCTGGTCTTATAATTAAGTCCTGGGGCGCCTGAGTGGCTCAGTCATTTAAGCATCTGCCTCTTGATCTCAGCTCAGGTCTTGATCTCAGGGTCATGAATTCAAGCCCCACGTTGGGCTCCATGCTGGGTGTGGAGCCTATGTAAAAAAATAAATAAATAAAAAGAACTTAAAAAAATTAAGTCTTTAATTCAGGTTGAAAATTTTTTGTGAGTGGTGTAAGATAGGGTTCAGTTTCATTCCTTTGCATGTGGATATCCAGTTTTCCTCACACCATTTATTGAGGAGACTATTGTTTTCCCACTGTGTGCTCTTGACATGCTTGCCAAAGATTAATTGATGGTATATGTTTAGATTTCCTTCTGGACTTTCTATTCCATGTCATTGGTCTATGTATCTTTTTTTAATGCCAATATCATGACTTTTAAATCCTACTGGGAAAGGGACCACTTTAGTAATGAAGAGGTTGGCTGCCCTACAATTTATCAGCCATTGAAGGCATTTGGAAATCTGTGGGGCAGTTTTGATTATTACGAGGGGAGCACCAAATGGCATTTAGTGGACAGTGACTAGGGACACTCATAGTTCTGATTGTAGGGGATGTTCCATGAAGAATTCTCCTGCCCCAAATGCCAATTGTGTTTCTTATTAGAGACTCTAATGAAGGCACCCTAATGAAGTCATGATATGTATTTGATAGTATATAAGAGATTCTCAGTAGATGGAATAATTATGACTACTTTTATTAATAAGATGCACTTCACAAGGCCGGTGGGGACGAAGCTACAGATATCCAGGTCTGGCTTGGCTGAGGGTAGTATAAAACAAACAAACAAACAAACAAACAAACAAACAAATAGCAGGCAGCCTGTGGAAAGCAGATTGCTGAGTCTGAAGCTCAGATTGAATTCAGTAAGTCTAGGGTTGGGGCTAAGAATTGCATTTTGGTAGCACGCACAGAGTAGGTGGTGATAAGTGATCCTATGGCCAGACATGCAGGTGGGTACATCATGAGGTGAGACCAGGGAAAGTGAGGGCGGAAGTAACGAGGCAAGAGCTGAATACAGACAGCAGTGAGGCAGAGCCAATACCTTGGAGAATGGCAAAGCATGTATTTCATGGGTAAAAGCCATCAGAGTACCTTTCAGTGAGGCTAATGAATTAGAGTTGGTCAAATTGCTCACTTGTATCCCATATGGGATTTAGTTGTGATTCAGGCATAGCTGGTATTGACTCTGTTTACCCTAATCCTCTCTCTCCCTCCTCTATACTATGTTTCTAACCTGTCTGAGCTAGAGCTCTCTTTCTGGTGAAAGGTTCTCTTCTTCTGGCTCCATGTTTCTACACCTATTTTCTAGCAAAAAGGCATCTCGGGGTGCCTCCCTTTTAAGAGATTCTCAGTGATGTGGTTCACTACCCCTCACTTCTCTGTGAGCTGGATCCCTGCATTCTGTTCCGTTTCTGTTTTCTTCTTTGTGTTCCTTTTTTGCCTTTTATCTGGACATATGGGTTCCTACTTGCCTTTTGTCTATTGAGTATAAGAACTGGAGGTTTCCAGGGCGCCTGGGGGGCTCAGTCGATTAAACATCAGCCTTCAGCTCAGGTCACGATCCCAGGGTCCTAGGATCGAGCCCTGCATCCGGCTCCCTGCTCAGCGGGGAGCCTGTTTCTCCCTCTCCCTCTGCCTCTTCCCCTGCTTGTGCTCTCTCTCTTTGTGTCAAATAAATAAATAAAATCTTAAAAAAAATACACTGAGGAACACAGAGGAACCTATTTACTGGGACATACAAAGGACCATGAAGTTCCATCACAAGCAACATGGGCTGTATAGAAATTTAAAAATATTTGCTGTTGCTGCCCCGAGGTGTGAATTCACAATTATGCACTGAGCATTTATTTCACATCAGGTGTGAAGCTAAGCACTGTGGGGAAGTATAAAGATCAACCAGAAGAGTATAAAACAAGGTCCTTGCTCTCAAAATCCTTATAATATAGTTAAGCTTTGGATCCAGGATCTTTGGATCTTTATAAAATAAAGACACAGCTTTTATTATTTGGGGGAAGACAAAGAGAAGGGAGCAGTGTTAAAATTTCCTCTTTAGCTCCTCCCAAGCGACTTGACACACAAGTGCAGTTTTCCAGTGATTTCTGAAACTACAGAAAACACATGCACACTAGTGAGATGTCTCACCCCTCACCTCCTTTCCCCAGTGGGAATGAGACAGGAGACCATCGCCTGGATGTTGCCTTCCATCCTGTTGACAGTCCATCTGATGTTTTTCAAGCTGAAGTCTCTCCCTGGCCCCTGCTTTGTCTCTGAGTCAAGCTTCGGAAATGGAAGGACAGAGGTTGAAAGTTAAGCATCTAGTGCATGAAACAATGAGTTTAGGGTGTTGGTTGCTACCGTTCATGTTGATACAAATAGGAAGACAGTCCATGGATACTTTCCAGATGCTAAGCAGATGTCTAACTTGTGCTAATGTCTCTTTTGTGCACTCCTTATATTTCAAGTAAGCCGCAAACGTTATTTAGGCTCTGTTTGGATTATCTATCATCATGCATTACAGGGGTGTGCATGAGTTATGCTCTCAGGAAATGTCTGTTTGCTGTCTAATAAAATTTGGGGGGACCAATAAACTCTATTTAATTTTTACAGCTATACCGAGCTTATGTGGCCTTTCCCGACTTTTTCCGTAACTCAACTACCACGTGGTGGAAGAGGGAGTTGCAAGAACTCTACACCAATCCACAGAATCCAGAGAGGAGCTTGAAATTTGACGGCATGTGGATTGTGAGTGTGTGGGTTTGTGTCTGTGGGTGGGTGTGTTTCTATCTTCTGAGATTATATATCATGACCTTTAATCAAGAGGGATAATAATCATCCAAGGAAGACTTTGGACACATCTGATTGCAATTCCTCCAGTCAGAAGTAAAACATCCCTGATACTCCTCATATCTTATACCTTGCCTGAAGTTCCTGCTGTAAAACACCAACGTGATTACTGGGAATTTCTTGGACTTGAGCCTTGCCTCATACCTTGAGGGAGAATTTTTTTCTTTTTTTAATCCTCTAGCCAGTCATTCTTGTGGGCTTAATTGATCTCTCTAGTCAATTCTCAGTTGGATCTGATGAGCCTCCCTGGGCTGATATCTACAGGATTGCTGGAAGGTGAATGATTTATTCATTGCTTCCTTGTCTCTGAGTTGGCAGGATGTGATGATTTGAAAAAGTAAGATATATCTGTGTTTGACATTTCTAGGATATGAATGAGCCAGCGAGCTTTGTGAATGGAGCAGTTCCTCCAGGCTGCAAGGATGCCACTCTGAACCACCCTCCCTATATGCCATGTAAGAGCCCTCGATCTCCTCTGTTGGCAGAACCATGGCTACGAGGAGTGATCCCTACAAGAGCCCAGCAGCCAGGGTTTACCCTGCACATCTTAACTGGTGCCATGGTTTTAGGGGGCCAAAGACAAATACACATCAAGCACTTTATCCAGTTGAGTGTGTATAAGTTACTGTCCCTGTTGGGTGAATTTCTCAAATTTGTTCTGAAAACACTTAACAGTGGTTATGTCTCCAAAGGATTCTAGAACTAAGTTTCTTAATTCTTCCGGCCTCTTTGAATTCCTCCACGGGAATTGTGTCATCAGTGGGTGGAGAGTAGCAGCTTCTCTTTATCATGGAGTCAGTGGACTTTGGTGTTATACTTGTGTTCATATCTTGGCTCCAGAAATTAAACTCACTATGAATTGTGTGACCTTCAATAGATTACTTGATGTTTCCAAATCTGTTTTTTTTAATTGTGAAGGGAGATAATGCTATCTCTTTTATAGAGTTATGATAAGAATTACATGAAATGATTTATAAGAAAAACGCTTAGACTGCATCCTGTCAAATAGGTGTTTGACAACTGTGTTTTCCTCCCCTTGCCCCTGCTTTCTCCTGGAGAACCCTGCAGGGGCCTTGATGTTGAAAACACCTTTGGGCTCCATTGCAGCTCAGAGCCGAGCACATTCCCATGCCCCTGGAGAAGAGAGGGACCCATGCACGGGTCAAATTAGTCTTAAGATCCAGTGTCGAATCCCTTAAAGAGAGGTCAGGGATAACAGGATCAGGCATGGCATTTACATCACTAGCTCTTTCTCCTCAGATTTGGAGTCCAGGGACAGGGGCCTGAGCAGCAAGACCCTCTGCATGGAGAGTGAGCAGGTCCTGCCAGATGGCTCGCGGGTACGGCACTATGACGTTCACAGCCTGTACGGATGGGCCCAGACCAGACCCACCTATGAGTGAGTCACCTTCTCCCTTCTCTGGTCCACCCAACCTGCAGGGACAGCCAGTGACTGATGAAGGAACCCTGCTTTTCCTTGCATGCCCCCTCTCAAGGGTTAAAAAGATTTTAATCACAACTATGTCACAATTCTTATTTATTAAGCAAACACGAACATGGAGCCAGGCTCCATGATCAGTGTTAGAAGGACAGATTTAGGGGTGCCTGGGTGGCTCAGTCAGTTAAGCATCTGCCTTCAGCTCAGGTCATGATCCCAGGATCCTGGGATCAAACCCTGTGTCAGGCTCCTTGCTTGGCAGGAAGCCTGCTTCTCCCTCTCCCTCTGCCTGCCGCTCCCCCTGCTTGTGCTCTCTCTCTCTCTCTGACAAATAAATAAATAAAATCTTAAAAAAAAAAAAAGAAGGACAGGTTTAAGTAAGATATGGTCCTGCTAGGGAGAGACTCATTGTCCTTGTGGAGGAGACACACACAGAGACAGAAGCAATGATCACACAGTGCAGCTGATGCTATAATTAATTACAAGAGGGGAAGGGAATGCAGAGGACTGGCTATCTTTTTCTTTTATTTCAAAAGTGACTCATCTCTGTTGGACTTTCTTTTTTTCTTTTTCTCTTCCTTTTCTTTTCTTTTCTTTTTCCTTCCTCCCTCCCTCCCTCCTTCCTTTCTTTCTTTTTTCTTTTTCTTTCTTTCTTTCTTTCTTTCTTTCTTTCTTTCTTTCTTTCTTTCTTTCTTTCTTTCTCCTTCCTTTCTTTCTTTTTTCTTTTTCTTTCTTTCTTTCTTTCTTTCCTTCCTTCCTTCCTTCCTTCCTTCCTTCCTTCCTTCCTTCCTTGTTGGAGAGCCAACTGATGTTCTGCCGAATTAGTGCTATCCCATTTTGTGAGCTTAATGAATAATAAGAGTTATCTTAAGGAAGGCCTTATAAAGAAATTCATCTTCTTTCTCCCCAAATGTAAAAACTTAGTACTTAGTAAAGAAATGGTAAGACTTAGTGATTAGTCATTATTTTTAGGTGATCCAGTAGGTTTATTACAAAGTTTGTTGTAAAGCACTGTGAAACACTATGTTAAGGCATAACTGTTACTATCATCTCTATTGTGTAGGGTCAGTCAGTGGGGACTTCATTATGGCTCAGATTTCCATATTTCCCCAAATAATGCAGGAGACATTTTGTTGCCATGCCTTAGGCTCCGAAACTCTGGGAGGAGAAGCTCTGTGGCCTTTCCTCCCCTGATCTTTCCCCAATCACCTGCTTGTTGCCTTCCAACCAGAGCTGTGCAGGAGGTGACGGGACAGAGAGGCATTGTCATCACCCGCTCCACGTTCCCCTCTTCTGGCCGCTGGGGAGGTCACTGGCTGGGCGACAACACAGCTGCCTGGGACCAGCTGAAGAAGTCTATCATTGGTGTGTGGGCTTCTCCTTAGGGGCCTCTTCTGGTGGGGAGGGGATCAGGACCCTCGATAAAGGATTCTTGAGGGAGGAGGAGGCAGATCACAAGTGCCACCTCTGACACAGCTGTGTTCTCGTTGCAGGCATGATGGAGTTCAGCCTCTTTGGCATATCTTATGTAAGTGTCTTTTGGATCACTTCTAATCCCCAAGCATGTAGTGACATCTTTCAGAAATCACCAACAGGTTTGTTTTATTCTACCTTGTTTCAGACAGGAGCAGATATTTGTGGGTTCTTTCAAGATGCTGAATATGAGATGTGTGTTCGCTGGATGCAACTGGGGGCCTTTTACCCCTTTTCGAGGAACCACAACACCATTGGGACCAGGGTAGGATGTTAGCTTCTAGCTCAAAAGTGTTGTGTCACTAGGAATACAACCTCCAAATTTGAGCTATATTCTCTGTGACATCTTCAAAACCATCAAACCACATGTTTCTTGTTCTTCTATTTGATACATTTATGAATTGTGAAATGATTATCACAGCAGGATTAGTTAACACCTCCATCACCTCACATAATTCCCATTCCTTTTTTGTGGTGAGAACATTTAGTATTTACTCTTTTAGCAACTTTCAACTATATAATATAGTATTGTTAACTATAGTCACCATGCCGTGCATTCGATTATCAGAACATATTCATCTTGTAACTGGAAGTTTGTACCCTTTGACTGATACTTCCCCATTTCTCCCATCCCCCAGCCCCTGATAACCACCATTCTGCTCTCTAATAGATGTGAGGTGATATCTCATTGTGGTTTTGATGTGCATTTCCCTGATGATGCGTGATGTTGAGCATCTTTTCATGTAGCTTCTGGCGATTTGTATGTCTTCTTTGGAAACTGGAAACCAATAATAGGAGGAAAACTGGAAAAGTCACATATATGTGGAAGTTAAATAACGAATGGGTCAAAGATGAAATCGAGAAAAAAATAAAAAAAAATCTTGAAACAGATAAAAATGGAAACACAACATACCAAAACTTACGGGATGTAGTGAAAGCATTTCTATGGGGAAGTTTATAGTGATAAACACCTACATTAAAAAAAAGAGAGAGAAAGAAAGATCTCAAATAAGCAACCCAACCTTACACCTCAAGGAACTAGCAAAAGAAGAACAAAGTAAGCCCAGAGTAAGCAAAAGAAAGGAAATAACAAAGATCAGAGGAGAAATAAATGACATAGAGACCCGAAAAACAACAGAGAAGATCAATAAGAGCTGATTCTTTGACTAGATAAACAAAATTAACAAACCTTTAGTTAGATTTGCTAAGGAAAAAAAGAGCGAGGGCTCATATAAAGAAAAGTATAAATGAAAAAGGAAGATACCACAGAAATGCAAAAGATCACAAGAGACTACAATTATAAACTAACAAATTGGACAAAACTAGAAGAAATGAAGAAATTCCTAGGAACATACAACCTACCAAGACTGAAACATGAAGAAATAGAAAAGTCTAACAGATAAATACTGAATAAGGAGATTGAACTAGTAATCAAAAAATCCCCCAACAAAGACAAGCCCAGGACCAGATGTTTTCCCTGGTGAATTGTGTCAAAAATTTAGAGAAGAATCAACACCAAGACCTCCTTAAACACTTCCAAAAAATTGAGGGGGAGGGAGCACTCCCAAGCTAATTTCACAAGATCAGCATTACCCTGATACTAAAGCCAAATAAGGACCCTACAGGGAAACTAGAGATCAGTATCCTTTTGAATATTGTGAATATAGATCCAAAAATTTGCAACAAAATATTAGCACTAAATTCAACACATTGAAAAAAATCATACACCATGATCAAGTGAGATTTAACTTCAGATGTGAGGATGATTCAACATACACAAATAAATAAGTGTGATACACTACATTAATAGAATGAAAGATAAAAATCATATGATAATCTTGTATGTGCAGAAAAAAAAATTGACAAAACATAGCCTCCCTCCGTGATGAAAACTCTCAACAAATTGAGGATAGAAGGAATGTACCTCAATATTATAAAGGCCATATGTGCCAAGTCCACAGCTAATATCATTCTCAAAGGTGGAAGCTTGAAAGTATTTCCTCTAAGATGAGATGTAAGGCAAGTGCCCACTCTCACTACTCCTGTTTAACATAGTACTGGAAGTCCTAGCCAGAAGAGTCAGGCAGGAAAAAGAAATGAAAGGCATTTAAATCAGAAAGGAAGTAAAATTGTCTCTGTTTACAGTTCATATGACCTTATGTATAGAAAATCCTAAAGATATCATAAAAAATTACTAGACTGAATCAGTTCAGTAAAGTTGCAGAATACAAAATCAACATACAGGCATAAGTTGTGTTTCTGTACACTGACAGCAAGATATCTGAAAAAGAAATAAAGCAATGCCACTCATAGTAGCATCAAAAATCAGTAAGATACTTAGCAATAAATTTAACCAAGGAGGTGAAAGATCTATATGATGAAAACTATAGGACATAACATGAAAGAAATTGAAGAATACACAAACAAATGGAAAGATATTCCATTTTCATGGATTAGAATTAACATTGTTACAATGTCCATACTACCCCCAAACCATTTAAAGATTCAATGCAATCATTATCAAAATTCCAATAGCATTTTTCACAGAAATAGAAAAAACAATCCTAAAATTCATATGGAACTACAAAAGACTTAAAGAGCTAAGGCAATCCTGAGAAAGAAGAACAAAGCTGGAGGTATCATGCTTCCTGATTTCAAACTATATTACAAAGTTATAGTAATCAAAATAGTATGTTAGTGGCCTAAAAATAGATCAATGGAACAGAATCAAAAGCACAGAAATAAACCTTTGCATATACTATGAACTACCATTTGACAAGGGAGCCAAGAATACTCAATGGAGAGAAGAGTCTCTTTAATAAATGCTGTTGGGAAACTGGATAATCACATGCCAAAGAATGAAATGGGAGCCCTATCTTATACCACTCACGAAAATTAACTCAAAATGATTAGTCATTTAAATGTAGCACTTGAAACTGTAAAAATTCTAGAGGAAAATAGGGGAAAAGCCCCTTGACATTGTTCTTGTCAATGATTTTTTTTGGATTTGACACCAGAAGCACAAATAACGAAAGTAAAAATAAGTAAATAGGACTACATCAAACTCAAAAGTTTCTGCACAGCAAAAGAAACAATTAACTATAATTGGCTAATTGAACATAATGAAAAAAAAGAAACTATTAACCAAATGAAAAGGCAACCTATGGAATGGGAGAAAATATTTGCAAACCAAATATCTATCTGTCTATCATCTATCTATCTATCTATCTATCTATATATCTCATAAGGAGTTAATATCCAAAATATATAAGGCACTCATTCAAAGCAATAGCAAAACCCCACAAACAATCTGATTTAAAAATGGGTAGTTGAACCACATAGACATTTTTCCAAGAAGACATACCCGTGGCTAACAGGTACGTGGAAAGTTTCCCATGTTTCACTGAACCAGATTCCTCAGTGTTCTTTAGATTCTTTTGTTTCTTTAGGCTGTGTTGTACCAAATCTATCCCAAAAAGAATGTCTTATGGGGAAATTTCATCAGCTGTCTTGGGAAAGCTTGAGTGACTTTCAGTATATTAAGAATATTCTCAGGCTCATCTATAATCAACTCTGGTTTAGCTATGCATGCTCTTCATTTGTAATAAGAATTCAGTGACTTCCTTAAGTTCCCAGGTCCCCGAGGTAAGCTCTGAATACTCTTCTTTTCTCCTTTAGAGACAAGACCCTGTATCCTGGGATGCTGCGTTTGTGGATATCTCCAGAAGTGTGCTGCTGACCAGATACACCCTGTTGCCGTATCTCTACACCCTGATGCACATGGCCCACACGGAGGGCAGCACTGTCGTGCGGCCTCTTTTCCACGAGTGAGTGTCTAGCTCTCATCCCAATGACTAAGGGATAATGTCGTTCTGTGTGATGGCTTTTGGAAAAAAAAAAAAGCACTTCCGAATTAAATTAAAGACCTGATTGCCCTTTGCCAGAAGCTTTTTGGGCGCAGACGATATGTGATAACTCCTTTTAGCACAGCGTCAGTCATGTCCTAGGTCCTCGATAAAAGGCTCCTGAATGAAAAGAAAATTCAAAGTGATTACAATATAGCATGGAATACTTTCTTTCTCAATGGGGCATATGAAGAGCTGCTGATCTTTTGTAGCAGCTCAGGTCACAAAACAAGGCCAGATGTGAGGGATGGAGATGAGGGCTGAAGGCCATTATCGCATTTAAAACGTGCCATGGTTAAGAAACATGAAGATATGTATAGGTGAGAACATGTCTAAATCCAACCATTTCTGGGGTTTGAAGAACATGACAGACAGAAAGGAAGTATGTATCTGCTTAAGAGAGACCTGGGGAAAGAGTTAAAGGAAGGCTTAGAATGCAGCTGGATTTCTGACTTTGATCTCAACTCGAGGAGTTTTTTCAGGGTCTGGGCCTGAGGCCCTGTTGGGGTCCTGATTGTGGTACCTTGGTTTCTCTTTACAGGTTTGTGTCAGACCGGGTGACCTGGGATGTAGACAGCCAGTTTCTGCTGGGCCCAGCCTTCCTGGTCAGCCCTGTCCTGGAGCCTGTGAGTATGGAGACCTCTGATGAAGAGAGAATTAGAGTTATGAGGCCCAGGGACTAGAGGTAGCAGAAGAGGCCTGGTCTGCTGGGGATCCTGAGATGTGGTCTCTTACTCTACTTCTGTCTCCTCCTCTTCCTCTGAGCTGAAGTCCTTCACTTAGGTGCTCTGGTCCTCCGCTCCCTTATCTTTAAAATCAGCATAACAAATTCTGATTCATAGGATAATCAGGAAGGAAAGAACCTTATGATATATTTCAAGATAGAATCATTTCTTTATTAACTAAAATAAGGAGTATGGGTCAGAAACAAATTTTACAGGATTGTTTATACCAATGTGTATAATCTTGTTTCTGGCTAGCACTTCCCTTCCTTCTATGAGATGTTCTCATGCAGGAAAAGCCATTTCTTCACTTTTTCTGTTGATGTATAGGCTTCTGATTAAAATACCAGCTAATTGCATCCTCTCCAAAACTTACTGCTCTAATCATAATCCCTGAGGTACTGGCACCATAAAATCTGCAAAATTTTCCTCTGCTCCAGACCCAACCTGAGTCTGTCTCTTTAGAGAGGGGGTGAGTCTATAAGCAAATGATGACATTTTCTCCCCAAGTCCTGATCCCAAAGGGCTTTAGGGAAACCATTAATTTTGGGTAGGCAAATCTCCCATTTGCCAAAAGGGTAGGGAAGAAAGGCTTCCCTAACATTGCTGACCTCTAAAAAGATGAGCATGTGGGTCCAAGGCCAATACTATTGTTTTGACCCTTTAACTGTACAAATTGGTTACACTGCCCTGGATAGAAGAGCCTACCTCCCAAGCCTTGTTTGTGTTTAATTTTAGAATGCCAGCAATGTCACTGCGTATTTCCCTAGAGCCCGCTGGTATGATTACTACACGGTAAGTTTTTCTGATGATTTATACAACTTGGGAAAATGGTAGTGTGCACGGACTTCCAAATCTGACACGCCACTGGTCAGGTTCTGGCACTGTAACTCATTTGATGTGTGATCTTGGACAAGTCATTTTAACCTTATAGCCTCAGTTTATTCACCTCTAGGTAGGATAAGAGCACGTCCCTCACAGAATTGTTATAAAATAACGTATTTTGTTAGTGTTATGTTTGTGTTAGTTTTTATCTTTCACAATGGCGTATAATGGCAACACCAGTAAACACTTGAAATTGTACAGTAAACTATAGTTTTTGTTCATATCATCCCTCACGAGACTGTAAGTTCATATGCAAAGGGGCCTTTCCTCTCTGTCTTTTTGTTAAATATCTCCTTTTATAGCATAGATGCTCCAGGAGGAGCTGTTAAATGTAATCTCCTGAGGTAACCTGGTCTTAGGCGGTGTGTAAAATGCACTCGGAGGTATGAGACCCAACCCTTGTGTGCCGGAGCAGCACAAGTGCATTTCGAAATGCAAGATGAATACATCATTCTCCGTCCTAGAACATTCTAGGCTAGTCTGAGCGCCAGAGACTCAGCTGGAAAAACAGGGCCTTTCAAAGCAACCTCAGGGCCATGTACTCTTATAGGGACACAAGTCAGGCTTCGATTCTTGAGGAAGAATCAAAGGAGGTGTTTCCTCTCCCTATAACCAAACCTACTCTTCCGACTTTTCTGAGAGCAAAGCAGAGGACTCAAAATACAGGAAAAGGACGACAAGAGGCAGAGCGTACTCTGGCCCTTTCAGTCAGTGGGTTTGCCATGGGATTAGGTGAAAACCAGACAGGGACAGTGGAAGTCTTGTTCCTCCTCTGTCTCAGGGAGCCCTGAGTCCTTCCCTGACACCTTCTCCTTTCCATCTCCCCACCCCTTTTATTTTTGCTGGGCTGGATCTGTCCTCTGGAGGCCCTCGTTAAAACTCGGCTATGTGCTCCCCAACCAGAGCTTTCCAGGAGGGGGCAGCCAACTGTTTTTAAGTTACCTAGCCTTGTTCCTGAATTTGCATGTTGACCGCTCCATTCACTCCCAGTCAGTGATTCTGAGTACACTGAGATTCCCTGGAGCAGGGCCAGCACTAGGGTGCAGTAAGTGAGGTGCCTGGGCATGCAGTTTAAGGAGGTACTCCTTCCTGGGCCTGAGCTGGCATTTGCATGACCCTGAGAGTCAGCACCGCCTTAAACTATGCCCCCTGGGCCCCTCACTTGTCTCATTCTTGTCCCATCCTGGCCCAGGTGCAGACCACCTTTCTGAACTCCGGGTGTTGGAATACTGCAACAGTTGCCCCATAGAGTTCGCCATCGAACCTGGAGCTGATATCTGCATGTCGTGAACACTAATGCTTATGTACATAATTGTATGCACTACATGAAAGACAGGGAAGTGAGAGGGCTTGTAAAGAAAAGCGTCCTGGAGATTGCTGATTTTATACATGGTTTTTAAACAGAAGAGCTTTGGTTGAGGAAGGAAAGAAAAAAAAATCATGTAGGAAGCCTCAAGTTGATGGAGCAAGCCATTTAGAAAAAAAATAGTCTTGCTGTTAAATTATAACGAAGATTCCGTGGTTGGGAATAATGGAGTAGTGTCTCCTTGATTAATCTTCACATGTTTGGGTACCTGTTTTTTTACAAGAGCAGAGGTTGTCAAACTACCACCCACAGCCACATCTGGTTCATATGTTTTTTATAAATAACGTTTTATCGGAACACAGTCATGAGCATTTGTTTACTTATTGTTAACAACAACTACGCTCACAATACAACAGCAGAGTGGAGTAGTTTCACCAGAGGCCATCTGGCCTGCAAAGCCTAGAATATTTACTCTCTGGTCCTTTTTAGATAAAGTTTGCCGATTCTAGTTCTAGAGGATATACATATAGTATGAGACCTAGTCTACCATCTGATCATGTGAAAAGGAACAAATTCATTATTCAGTATAAGGAATGCTGTGGAATATTAAAACATGATGTCAAAATTTAGAAGAAGAAGAGATACAGATGTACTGGTTAAAAGATGGAAGACACCAGGGGGAATATAAGATTGGAAAGGTACAGTGAAAGATATATAGTGTGCCACAAATACATTAGAAAGGTAAAGCTATCTCCTCTGGTAAAAATCCTGAAGGACAAGCATTGGAAAATGGAAAGGAAAGTAAAATTCACCATGTTCCCTATCTCTCAGTTCCTGTTAGCAGTCTGTTATATACTTTTGCTGATAAAAATTTGTGCATAGATTAGCGTATGTGTATTCTTTTTTATTTACACAAATAGTATCTTGCTGTACATACTATTAGGCTTCTTGGTTAATTCACTTAATAATATATCTTGAAGATCTTTGTATATCAAAGAACTTTGAACTTGAACTCTTTGAACTTGAAGCTCTTCCCATTTTTTTTGTTTTTTTTTTAGCAACTGTATTACATTCCATTGTATAGAATCATTTAGCAAACCACTTCTGTGGTGGGCGTTTAGGATTTAGGTTTGCCTGTTTTCTTTTTATATTGTCATGGTACAAGGCTGCAGGAAACACCATTTTACATTTATCTCTGTATAAGCTTTTGTCGGTAGAATTTCTGGGATTTAAACATTTGACAGATATTAGCAGATTGCTTTCCAAAAAGGTTTGATCAGCACCCAGTCCCACTGACAGTCCATCAACAGTAAAGTAGATAAATAGATTGTATTCTATTTTTTAAAATTAATATTATAGATTAATGTAAGTACTGAACTATTGCTACACAAGTAAAAATGATGAACATTACAAACATAATGTTGAGCGCAAGTAGCCTGAAACAACAGAGTTAAAACATGTATGACATATAAGTTCAAAAACAGGCCAAAGTGATGGAAAGCAGAATAGTAGCTGCCTTCAGTGTGGTGATTATTATGAAAGAGAATGAGAGAGTGTTCTGGGGGGCTGGTAATACTCACTTCTTGATCTCGTTGGTGGCTTAATGGGTGCGTTCGTTCACCGGTAAAATTGTACTGAGCTGTATACTTATGTTACTTAAAAGTTTAGCGAGAAAATTAATATCCTCAGAGAGATAAGAAGCTATACTTAAAACAAGAAAGCATGCTATAAAAGAGGCATATTCACAAAACCTTGGAAATTAAAAGCATAATGCAGAAATTTAAAATTTTGTTTAAAAACAAATTATAATAGCAACCACCCAGAAAATAGAACAAAAAAACAAAGATGAAAAGCAGGGGAGAAAACATAAGGAAGTCCAACTTAGCTTATACTACCACTTTTTGCACAATTTTTTTTGCTGTTTGTACAATGGAACTTGGGTATTAGCAAATGCCTCGAGTGAAGGATAGGTGAAGAATGTATGACTCCTATCTTGGTGGTTCCCATTTCTCAAGGATCATGACTCCTATCATAGCTGCCTTGGTAGCTGTGAATTACCATCCCCACACTGTCCCTCCCGTGCTCATCTGACCAGCAGAAGCAAGAAGCACTCCTTACTGCTTGGTCCTTAGGCCTCACTTGTTTTATGAAGTGGCAGGTGCCTTGAGGCAGGACAGGTTGATGTGCTTTATGGAGTGGGTCTACTTCAGTAAGCCTGGGTCTTCATCTGCGCTGACTCTTAATTTCTCCAAATAAGGTGCAAAACCAGCAGTTTACAGCTCCTTCTAGAACTCTCTGCCTGTCTCAGGCATGCCTATGTGCTTGAGCATGCTATGAAGTGTCTTCTCCCCATTCCCCCTCCTTTCTGTCATTCTGGGCACTGCAGTTTGTAGACTTTATTCGGGAGTAGGGAGGCCTGGGACTAGTCTGGCTTACCTTATTGATTACCTATTTTTATGAAGCTTAAGAGCAGGCAATGTGTATGATCGAAGTTTTTATCTACTTGTGGCCATTTTCGTTGTTTACGGTGTAGAACATATGTTGGGTTTTTAAAACAGTGCTTCTCAGTCATAATCAATGACTATACAGTTGATGCAAATTCCCCCCTACAAAGGCATTTGGGTTATCTATTCTTATTTTAATAGTGCTGTTTTGAGATTTTTACCTTACAGTCATATCTTAATGGATATTTAAACAGGAATTTGTTAGACTGGCCTGGTCAGAAACTATTTAAAGGAAAGTAAACAAGCTTGTGATTAATCAAGTATTAGAAATGAAATCATGAGATTAAAATCACATCATATTTACATAATGCATAGTAGAATGGAAATACCATTGAGAGAAATAAAGAATTTGGCAGAGAGATAACTTGACAGTTTTGCAAGTGTCGAGTTTCACCTGAAGGTGGGATAACCAATGGAGGAAATGTCCAGTGTTCATCAGATATCGGAGTGAAATGTCATTAGAGATCATATAATTGGATTTTCTCATGCTATCAGTGAGAAAACCGAAGAAGGCCAGAGATGTAGGGCTGGAATTTTTATTAAATCCTGTAGACTTTGGAGTCCTGAGGCAGGCCCATGAAGCAGAGTCTGCCCCAGGGAGCATGGCAACAGTCACTGGGCTTCCTTCTGACCACCCACCCCTACGGTTCATACAGGCAGACTATGGCCAAGAAGAACATAAGAGACCAAAGTAGAGGAATGTTATGGTAGCTTTCCTCCTTCCCTTTAAAGTAGCGATTATCAAATGGGTGAATTTAGCATACCAGGAGACATTTGGCAATGTCTGGAGACTTTTCGGTTGTCACATGTGGTGGGCAAGGCGGGGGGAGGTGCTACTGGCATCTAGGGGATAGGCACGGATGAGCATCCCCAAAACACAGGACAGCCCCCATGACAAAGAATTATCTGGCCCCAAATGTCCACAGTGCTGGAGCTGGGAAGCCCTGCCTTGGGTTGAAGAAATGTGGAAGGCTGGTTTCTTAGAAACTGTCACACAGGAGGCAAGATAAAGATGTTAAACATAAAGCAAGTTGTAGTGAGTTAAAGATAAGGATTTGTAAAGTAAGTCAGCTCATTTTAATTCTTTCTGTCAAGCAGGAGTCAAGGCTTTAGTGAAGTTGGTGGGAGTGGGGAATGGGGGCAGTGAAAGGAGACGGAGCAGAGACAAAGTGAGGGAAGGTCTAGAAATGCTATTGCAGGGTGTGTATCACGAGGCAACAAGGAATAAATAAAAGGCTTGCTCAACCTCCTGCAGCACTGCTCTCTGACACAGAAACAGGATGTAGAATGAGGGTAGGCTGAGAGCCACACTACAATCTCATGTAGTATGTACAGTAGAAACCCCAGAAGACAAGGGGTGCTGACATGATGTTGTAGCAGCATCGTGAGAGTCCACACAGTAGCTGAGTGAGCGTGGAGACGTGTAATAACAGCTGTGTGCTGAGGGGTCATGGATGGGCACCAAGTCCAGAAGAGCGGACAAGTTGTCTAGTAAATGCGTCATTCAATGAGGTGTGTTCTCTTCCTGTCTTGTCTTCTTCTGGCCCACAGGGTGTGGACATTGGAGCAAGGGGAGAGTGGAGGTCCTTGGCAGCCCCTCTTAACCACATTAATCTTCATGTCCGTGGGGGCTACATCCTGCCCTGGCAAGAGCCCGCACAGAACACCCACTTAAGGTGAATGACAAGGGACAAGGCTCCTCCTTTACCTGCCAGTTAGCTCAGATCCTGGTGAAGCCTGCCAATTTGTAAGCGGCGCCCTCAGACCCCGAAGGAATTTGGCTACAGATTTTTGTTTGTTGGATTGTGTTTTAAACTTTTTCAGACTTTGCACTCTTTGAACAGTTATTAACAATTTTAGATTTAAGTGGGTGAGATGATAGGTCTAGTTGATCACACCTGAAATGGAAGTCAAACAAGGAGCAACTCAATTCATACTAGTTTTAGAAGACTCTCTGGATCTTAATTGACTCTGCTAAGAAAACCATTGCTGAAAAATTGTGTAAGCCACATTGCAACTGATGCTTGAGGCTGAGATTCCTCACATACAAGACTTTAGAATTCTAGACCTAAGTCTATGTAATAATTAATAATAGCTAACATCAAGTGAATGCTTGCTCTGTGCCTAGATCTATACTAATATGGAGGTTTCTATTTGGAAATTATTTATTTTTCTTAACAAAAGGGAAAAATAAACTCTGTGATGTAAATACGATTATCCCCATTTCACAGACAAGCAAAGAGAGTCTTCAAGTGGTCGTAAGTAGTTGAGCAGGGACTAAAATCCATGTCTGTCTGACGTCCAACTAAAATTCTTAGAGCCATACTCATTTGATTCAAAAAATTCAGTTAAAAACTGAAGAATTTTGGACATTTTTAAACAGAGCTCACTCTACATGTGCTTAGGAAATTAGGTCATGAAAAAAGAAAGATCACACCAGGATTTTTCTCACAGAAACAGTGAGTTTGCTTGTAGTTTCTTGTCGTACTTTTAGAGCACTTATAGACCTGTAGAGCCTTAAAGGAAAATTCTCCTAATTCATTCATTCATTCATCCATTCATTCATTCATTCCTGACCTGAAATCAGAACTAGAACTAGATCACAGGTCTTTTGAATCCTAGTACCCAGTCTTTATGCCATGAAGCACTTCCGTTATGTTTCTATGAAAACCCTTGGTTTGTGGTAGTGGTTTTGTTTTTAGCTAATTGATCTTTCCTACCTCATTGCAGCCGTCAGAAATTCATAGGCTTCAAGGTTGCCTTGGATGATGAGGGAACTGCTAATGGCTGGCTCTTCTGGGATGATGGGGAAAGTATTGGTGAGTAGGGTTGCCCTGGATTTGTGTCAATACCACTGACTAGGGGACAGGCCTGCTTTTTATCTTTTACACATTAAAACAGTTTTGCATTCTTAAACATAGCCATTTGTTATTTCAAGTGCACAATACCTATTGTATATGATCCTTATGCCTCAGGTAAATGAAATGTAGCTCTGAATCTCTCACCATTACCCAACTATACTAATTCACTGTGTGAGACAGCAGCATAGAAGCCAATGGGAAAGTTTCTTAGTAGCCACCTGAGATATACTTCCATGTGGTTTATGTTCAAGGGCACGTTCTCTAATTACATGGTTTACTGTCCCAATAAGAAAGGCAGTGCCTCTATCAACTGTGCTATTTATTTGAGGGGATTTTCCGCTCGGAGTTTACAGGAACTGGTAAATCTTGGGAGGAAGGCTTACATTCCATTAGCTATGTCTAAGCCAATGCTGTCCAGTGCAGTGATGGAAACAGATTGTATCTGTGTTGCCCAATATAGTAGCCATTGGCCTATGTGACTATTGCATATTTGAAATGTGACAAGTACATCTGAGAAACTGAATTTTTAATTTTAATTAATTGTAATTAATTGTAATTTAAATAGATACATACTGCTAGTGGCTGCTATCTTGGACAGCACAGCTCTAGAGGATAGCCAATGCCCTCTGATTGAGTGGTAAGTGAATTAGAAAGAGATAGACTATGGGGAAGAGTGAGCAACCCCCAAAGGTAGGAGGTAGGGTGGGGATGCCTATGCAAGACATGCCAAGCTTCATATTCTCCCTGAACCTGTGGCATACATTAAGGATAAAGGACAAAGAAGTCTTTTCTGTGGTTTTCCTTGGTCTCTGGAGATTGCCTTTAAAAAAGGTGCCTCATGCCTCTGAAGATAAGCTGACCAAGACACCAGTGTTGATGTTTGTGATGTGGGTGTACATGCACGTATGCACACATATGTGTGCCTCTAGCAGTAGGAATCTAGAAATTCTGAGGTGACTAGGAAGATGTTGGGAATGGTAGACCATGAGAAAGAGAAGCGGATTAAGAGTGGTGTCAGGAAAATGCATTCTATGAGGTGACTCTGTTAGACAGATGCATCTGTACACACCCATTTCAAACACTTTGTGTAAATGGAGTTTGGGGGCAAAGTCTGACTGATCTCACAAAACTCTGTGAAAAAGAAAAGTGAAATGAAAAATAAAAATCACCCCTACTTTCTCAACAAGTAAGCAATTGGAATTTCAGAACACAGCTCCAGATCACGCTTACCTTGTTGCTTGTTTGTAGATACTTATGGAAAAGGACTCTATTACCTGGCCAACTTTTCTGCCAACCAGGTGAGTGTGACTGATACTGTGAAGAGAGAACAGAGTTCTGTTGGCTTAGTTGGATGCTGGATATCGTAAGGGCATAAAGTACCGCCTAGAATCCCTTCCCTGCCCTTGTTAATTTGCATCCTTCCCTTCCTGTAGACTTCAGAAGGAAATTTAGTATGCTCTCCCGGAAGTTTTCTGTGATTAAACCAATTTATATTTCATCAGTAACTTCTTCCAGTTCACCAAGGTGCAGACAGACAGACTGTTTTTATGTTATCTAGCCCTAGTCCTGTGTTGCCTTGGAATGGTCTGCACAGTGACATCTCTACATGTAGAACAGAAGGTTCCTGATACCTGAGACTCTTTGTCTCCTTAGAGTTCAGGGTGAGTCTAGAGACACTGCAGGTGCTTAGCTAATGCAAAATTGGATGATAGTTGGAAGCAGGAGATAGAGGGATGAAATCATGGTCTGCATTATTCAAGTGCACAAGATGGTGACTCTCACATTGTCTTACTTCATGATCTGCATTTGTGTCTAAAAAGTTTGGGAAAATTTAAATGGATTTTGTTTATGTTTTTTCCCCTCTGGTTTCTTTTTATCTCCAATTGATAGAATATGATGCAGAATCATATAATTTTCAACAAATACATCACTGATTCAAACCCATTGAAACTGGGCTACGTTGAGATCTGGGGAGTGGGCAGTGTTCCCATTTCCAGTGTCAGCCTCTCTGTGAGCAGCATGGTGATAACGCCAAACTACACTAACGACCCTGTGACACAGGTTTGTGACCAGTGAAAAGTCCCAATGGTATTTCCCGGTCCAGTGCTAGGGCAGTTCCTGCCCACCTCCCTTCCAAATGACAGCTTTTCCTGCAGAGCCCTTCAGGAAGCTCTCTGTGTTCAGTGTGCCAACAATGGACAGCATGGAGATGAAGGGAAAATTCCTGACTTAGCATCATTTGGAATTGAGGGTCTGGATCCTCGCTTTTTCTTGTCTGCAAATTTATATAAAACTTTGTCTTTACTCCTTCACCTCGCCTCAGAGATCTACTTCCCAAACAGTTCGAACTACCATATTCCATCAAATATGACACCATCGGTTAAAGTTGCCCCATTATTCCACAAAGAAGGAAAAAAGGATTACAAAGTATGATACAATGCTTCATAACATTTAAAATTTCTACTTTCAACACACAGAGAGCTTTGCAAGCTTACTTTAAATGAAGATTTATATCATTTCAATGTTAGTGATAATACAGAGGAAAATATTGGGTAGAGACATATGAACATTGATAAATCTGCATCAAAGTAATTTAGATGAGGTAGACTCTGAATGTGAAGAAATATTAGAAGTGCCTTAACCTGGGGCACTTGGGTGGTTCAGTGGGTTAAGCATCTGCTCAGGTTATGATCCCAGGGTCCTAGGCCACACGTTGGGCTCCTTGCACAGCAAGGAGTCTGCTTCTCCCTTTGTCTCTCCCCCTCCCCCTGCTTGTGCTCTCTCTCTCATTCTCTCTCTCTAATAAAAAAATAAAATCTTTTTTTTAAGAAAGAAAGAAATGCCTTAACCAATTCGTATCACAGATTTTTCTTTTATTATTCAAAATTTTATGTAAATATAAATTATTTATTATTATTTAAAAGAGAAATATGTGGCATGAATGGGTTAAGGTATTTCCTCTGTGCTATCCGAGGCATTGGTGATATATCATTTCATAAAAATTCTTTCACTAGCGTCATGGGATTTTCTCAAATGTAGCAAATGCTTTATACAAGTTTTCATCCTAGCACTTTTTTGATCTTACTATCAGCCAGGATTCCTATTCTTTCCTAAAATAATCCTTAAGCGGTTTGTAGTCTATCCATTCATAATACCAATAATAGCAATGAAGTTCATGCATGCACAGACAATAGCAATTGTCATGAATGTTGCTTGGCTCACAGTAATTCTAAGGCTGTTGACTGCAAGACACATTCTGATTTCATGGATGTTAAATGTGGAAAATCCTGCCCCTTGGGATCAATGCCGTGTGGCATTTCCAACACCTATCCTCGTGGTAAACAGATCTTTCTGGGTGTGCTTGCTTCTTCCTTTTTTCTGGACTGTTTTTCTTTCATAATCCTTTCTGATTATAAGGCCTGAAACAAAAGTTTTCCTTCAGTTATGTATTTTTTTAACTCGTTTCCTCATATTTGTGGCTTTCTTATCAACCAACTTCCCCAACTTTACCAAGAGCTCCTAAAGGACTTTGCCCAGTTTTGTTGCTGACCGACTCCTGCACTGTCACACTAGCTGATGTGATGGCACCTGCAGTGACATTTTATGGAAAGCATTTGCCTAGAAAAAAAGCTGAACTGTTGAACTTTCACTGGGCAATCACCAACTCACTATGGGGGAACAGGAAAAGGAGGAAATCAAAAGAGGGTTCTGAGGATTGGAAATGAAGACATCTTCTCCAAATTTTTGTGCAGTTGTTTCTCTGCAGTGGTTGCGATTGCATTATTTAGGGCCTGTTGTCTTTTCCCTATGACTGAACAAGCTTTGTACTCTAAAGAGTCAAAAAGCAGCCTCCTCACCTGAAAACTTGAGGGCTGCCTTACAGCTAGGCAATGAATTGTGAAAGTAGCAGAGTGCATGTGGACCTTTGGCTTGTATCTGATTCCTGTGAGTGCAAGAAATTTCAATCACTAGATGCCCACTTCTTTTCCTTTGGTTCCCAACAGGTGTTAAGCATTGACGTGACCAGCAGAGACATCAGCCTCCATAATTTCATTTCACTGACGTGGAGAAGCACTCTGTGAATTTTTAGAGCAAGATCTTAATTACAAACAGCTTTGGAACTACTTCTATCTTATGCTTATAAAATTATTGTGTGTTGTTAATTCATTCATGCTCAGTATGGGTGAAGAATTTTGTTAATTTTGTCATATATTTTGTCTGTGTCTTGGCCCTGTGGTATAGGCCATAGGGAAATGTGGGAAATTGATGGGTTGTTTTCCCATCTGTGTGATGAACATGGTACTGATGGGTCATCATATAATATCTACTGAAGATGAACTGGGTCCACGATGAAGGGGTGTGTGTGTGTGTGTGTGTGTGTGTGTGTAAGTGTAATCAGGGAATGGGCCCCACTTTTGCTAAATACACAAGAAAAAGCTTGCCAGGACAGTTGCAGGTCCTGGGGTTGACTAATGCCTCAAGAAAGTATTCAGAAAGAACGTCTGCTAGTTGGTTTTAGGGGAGGGGAACAATAGGCTGGGGAGGAGGAGCAATGCTCTCAAGCATGATATAAGGGGAAAGCAAAGAAACACAGGGAAGATGAGAGGAAACAGAAGATGGTGATAGAAAGGATCATGACAAGTAAGAAGAAAACACAAAAATCTAAGGAATAGCAGCCTCATGGGAAGGAGACAAGAAGGGCCAACTCACGTGAATGCGAGAAGACAGGTGGGGGAATACAGAATATGGGAATAGGGGTGAGGATGAGGTTGAAGCAGGCAAAACTGAAGGAAGGAGTTTGAATGTAAAAAATGTAACTTATTTTTGCAGTGGTGTGCTTCGAAACATGTAAACCTTATTTCTCTGCTCCGTGCCTGACATGTATAACCTTCACACAAACGCATGCAACTTAAATGCCAGAGAAAAATAAAACAAGCAAATTTACAAGAGATTTTGAATTTTATGATATTTTTACCCTGGGTAACCTACCTTTGGGGTTAAGGCTCCTTGTTGGGCAAACCCTTGCAAGTTGGTCTTGTTGTCTTTGGCATCAGAGTTCTTGTGGTCTAACCCACTGATGGAACAATCAGAGTTATGGTTATCCACCCTTTCTCTCATACCTCTGGCATGGGTTTTTCTTAAGATTCAGGTTTGTGGAAGCCTGTACTTGGGTGGTAGTGGTTGTTTTACTTATCGTAGCAATTGCCAAAATGTCTGGTAAAGTGTCAACTGGCAAAAACAGAATTTGTATCACGATTGGTTAAAACGTGAGATGGTTAAAATTTGGGATAAAGAAATGACTTATTTGCGTTCAACATGCATATTTACTTTTAGTATTCCTTGAATAATGAGTGTATTGGAAACAAGTGTATATACTTCCCTAAGTCTTTTTCTTTATTTTTTAAACACCAGGAATGCATCTGATTATATTAAAATACATTTATATGAATATTTTAAAAATTTAATATAGGAACACATGAGGCATTTTTTTTTACCATTCCTATGTTCTTTTTTCTAATTTTTTTATTATTACTATATCTTTTTTAAAGCCTCATGCTTTTTTTTAATTATTATCATGTTATGTTAGTCACCATCCAGTACATCATTAGTTTTTGATGTAGTGTTCCATGATTCATTGTTTGCGTATAACACCCAGCACATAAGGCATTTTTAATGATCACATTAAATAATTAAGATCTAGCAGTGGGCTTCATAATGTCATAATTTCCATGTGATGATCAGCATAAACAATATTTTGAGATATCTACTATAGTTTTCATAATGTGATATGAAAATATCTGTGATTCTATTTTTGAGAGACTCCTGTGTACTGCTAACACAACTATGCTCTGCTATCTACATTTATAATCTAAGAAAATGCTAAATTTCAGTTAGAAATTAGTGAACAAAAGTATTTTTCCCATCAATATTTGCAGATTCCCTAAGTTATACTCCTTAGAGTTCTGGGGATCCTAATTCAAGAATTCCTAGATTAAGGCATGTCTGCTTCCCAGACTTCAGTTTAGTGACTGGGTCCCTATGTAGCTGTAACAGTTTTAAGAGTTCCCAAGCCTCAGTCAGTCACCTGTCTTGAATTCATTCATCCTTTTGACTTTTAAACAGCCAGTTTCTTATGGACATGAAGACTTTCAGTGTAAGACTGAAAAGATTCTTAGCAGCTCTGGGAAGAGTGTCAGTGAAGGAATTGGGTATGTGGCTCCCTTAGTTTCTCTTTCTGAGCAGAGCTGTCCTCTAAGTATATGGTTGCATCCTGCCTCGCCCCATCACATATGTTTGATCTACTGGTTGAGCATTTTCTGCTGCTTTCATTTGAATGAAAAGAACTCAGAAGCAATCTTTAGGGTCAGGGACTTGGTTAAGTCACTTTGTCACTCTGGGATCATACCTCCTCATCTGCAAACTTCTAGTGTGAGAGTAAAGCTGTGATATCCAAACTCTGGAACGGGGCTCTGCTGTGCTCTCCGGGAGAGGGAAGAAGGTGGATTGGCAGGGATCTGAGCTCTCCACCCTGGCTTCAGTCATTTACTCAGTTACATACTGGAATTCTATTTGAATAAAGAATTTTAGATATAGAGACTGTCATTTTTCCATTGGATATTCTTTCCTGCTTTGTTGAAGGTTAGTTGACCATAGAGTTGAGGGTCCATTTCTGGGTTCTCTGTTCTGTTCCATTGGTCTATGTGTCTGTTTCTGTGCCAGTACCATGCTGTCTTGATGGTCACAGCTTTGTAATAGAGCTTGAAGTCAGGCAGTGGGATACCACCAACTTTGGTTTTCTTTTTCAACATTTCCCTGGCTATCCGGGTTCTTTTCTGATTCCATACAAATTTTAGGATTGTTTATTCCAGCTCTGCAAAAAATGTCAGTGGTATTTTGATAGGGATTGCTTTGCATGTGTAGATTGCTCTGGGCAACATAGACATTTTAACAATGTTTATTCTTCCAATCCATGAGCATAGGAAGTTTTTCCATCTTTTTATGTATCCCTCAATTTCTTTCATAAGTGTTTTGTAGTTTCTAGAGTACAGGTCCTTTATCTCTTTGGTTAGGTTTATTCCTAGGTATCTTATGGTTTTTGGTGCAATTGTGGATGGGATCAATTCCTTAATTTCTCTTTCTTCAGTCACATTGTTTGTGTATAGGAATGCCACTGATTTCTGTGCATTGATTTTGTATCCGGCCACGTTGTGAATTGCTGTATGAGTTCTGGCAATTTTGGTGTGGAGTTTTTTGGGTTTTCCACATAAAGTATCATGTCATCTGCAAAGAGTGAGAGTTTGACTTCTTCTTTGCCAATGAGACTGGACCATTCTCTTACACCATACACAAAGTTAAACTCAAAATGGTTGAAAGACCCAAATGTGAGAAAGGAATCCATCAAAATCCTAGAGAAGAACACAGGCAGTAACCTCTTTGACCTTGGCTGCAGTAACTTCTTGCAAGACATGTGTCTAAAGGCAAGGGAAACAAAAGCAAAAATGAACTATTGTGACTTCATCAAGATAAAAATCTTCTGCACCACAAGGGAAACAGTCAACAAAACTAAAGACAACCTGCAGAATGGGAGAAGATATTTGCAAATGACGTAACAGGTAAAGGGCTGGTATCCAAGATCTATAAAGAACTTCTCAAACTCAACACCCAAAAAACAAATAATCCAGTCAAGAAATGGGCAGAAGACATGAACAGACACTTCTCCAAAGAAAACATACAAATGGCCAACAGACACATGAAAAAATGCTCCACATCACTTGTCATCAGGGAAATACAAATCAAAACCACAATGAGATACCACCTTATACCAGTTTAGAATGGCTAAAATTAACAAGACAGGGAACAACAAATGTTGGTGAGGATGTGAAGAAAGGGGAACCCTCTTATACTGTTGATGGGAATGCAAGCTGGTATAGCCACTCTGGAAAACAGTATGGAGGCTCCTCAGGAAGTTAAAAATAGAGCTACCCTATAACCCAGCAATTGCACTACTACGTATTGACCCCAAAGATACAGATGTAGTGAAAAGGGGCACCTGTACCCCAACGTTCATAGCAGCAATGTCCACAATAGCCAAACTGTGGAAGGAGCCGAGATGCCCTTCAACAGATGAATGGATAAAGATGTGGTTCATGGCGTGCCTGGGTGGCTCAGTCAGTTAAGCATCTGCCTTTGGCTTAGGTCATGATCCCAGCATCCTGGGATTGAGCCCCTCATTAGGCTCTTTGCTCTGCAGGGAACCTGCTTCTTCCTCTCCTCCCTACTTGTTCTCTCTCACTGTCTTCTCCTTCTCTCTCTCTCTCTCTCAAATCTTAAAAAAAGATGTGGTTCATATATACAATGGAATACTACTCAGCCATCAAAAAGGATGAATACCTACCATTTACATTTACATGGATGGACTTGGAAGGTATAATGCTAAATGAAATAAGTCAATCAGAGAAACACAATTACATCAAATGATTTCACTCACATGTGAAATATAAGGAATAGCACAGAGGATCATAGGGGAAGGGAGGGAAAACTGAATGGGAAGAAATCAGAGAGGGAGACAAACCATGAGAAACTCTTGACTCTGGGAAACAAACTGAGGGTTGTGGAAAGGGAGGTGGGTGGGGTGATGGGGTAACTGGGTGGTGGGCATTAAGGAGTGCACGTGATGTGATGAGCAGTGGGCGTTATATGCAACTAACAAATTGTTGAACACTATATCAAAATATAATGATGTACTATATGTTGGCTAATTGAATTTAAATTCAAAAAAGAATTTTAAGTATATATGTAATATACATATACATATATGCTTAATATATAAAAGCCTATATAATATATACACTTAAATTTTTTATTCATGTGGAATATATATATATATCATATACATTTCATATATCATATTTAATTAAGACATCTGAAAATCAGTACACCAAATCAGCAGTTCCACAAATATTTTGGTTCCAGCACCCCTTTATACTCTTAAAAATTATTGAGGATTCCAAAGCTTTTGTTCATGGGGTTATATCTATTGATATTTATCATATTAAAAATTAAAATAGTTAATTGTACACCTAAAACTAATATTACACATATGTTAACAACTGGAATTTAAATAAAAACTTGGGAAAAAGAATAAGAACAATTAC